ACGGTGTGCGCTTTGGCGAGGTGCGCGTGCCAGCGCGGTCCGTCCTCCAGCGCCGCAGTGGCAAACTTGTCGGCGTCGCCAAGGTGCGACGTCCGCGCCGAGAGCTCGGCGGCACACACAAGGAGGTGGCACCACTGCACCCGGTTGTGGTCCGTCGGGTGGGCCTCCTCGAGCGCAAGTGCGAGCTTGACGTAGGCCACCGCGTCCGACAAGTGACCAGCACCGACGGCGTCGTCCGTGGACGCAATCAACCGTGTGCTTTCGGTCGTCGTCCTGAGAACCATCGACGTCGATGCGTGAAGCCCGACGATATGGTGTGCTCGGAACGGCCCGGGGGCGTCCCCAGCGCTCGCAATGTGATGCAGCGCCACGGTGACACCGAGGTGTTTTTCCAGCGCAAAGAGCACCTGCGGCAAGTGCAGATCGTTGCGCGTCGGCGCCGTGTGCAAACCAAATTTGAGTCGCAGCGTTGGAAGCAACTCATTGTCGAGAAAGACCACGGCCTCGGCGCCGCCACCGCAGACTAGATTGACGAGCGTCAACACGACCGATCGCGATGCCGGTGCGCCTCGTAGCATGCCGCGAAGCAGCACCTTGGCCGTTCGCGCCACCATCTCAGTGAGAAGAAGTCGACGGATATGGACGAGCGTAGCGAGCTCGTAAAGGCGACCCAAGTACCGCATGTTGATGCCGTCGCCGTGGAGCACCCGCGTGAGCGCCGTGGCGTCCACGACGTGAAAATATTCGTTGGCTTCGAGGCGGGCGACGGCCGATGGGAGCACTGACTTTTGCAAATAGTGGCTCGCGCAGGCCACGGTGCTATCAAGCGCTGCCACGGACCCGGTGCCGTAGACGTTGGAGCTCAGCGCGGTGTGGTATTGCCGAATGTACTCGGGGCGGAGCTGGTGCAGGCTCGACGCGCCGTCACCGTCGTGAGCACCGTCGTCGTGTTCGAGGACGTCAGGTACACACAAATGTCGCAGCCGGGTCCATGCATACGCGTCGTCCTTCAGTCGCACGACGTGCGCGTCACGCGGCAATACACGCAGCAGGGCCATGGCGTCGGCCGCGTCTGTCTCGGGTGGGCACAGATTGAGATGCTTGAGGGCCGCCGTTGCGGCGATCGCAAAAGCAGGTGGGAGCTCGGTTGTCTGGCCCTCGCTGATCGCAGTCGGTGCCGAGCCATAGTCGCCAAAGCCAGCGCGCGGGCGCCGTGGTAGTCGACGGTGCACTGCAGCGGCACCCGCAGTGTAGTCGCATCCAGCGTTTGCAGCGCGTCAACGATCGCGTGGCTGGCGCGGAGGTCGTGTCCAAGGGTCTTCCACACAGCGACACCCGGTGTTCGCCACAGAAAGCAGCACAAGCCATCGGCCACGTACACGTCGGCGTCAGTCGCGTCAACATAGCCAAACCATCGCCGCCGGTCGCCGGTGTCATCGACTACAATGTTGTTGGCCGAGAAAATGTCGTCGGTGTCGGTCGCACGCGTGTCCAGAAGCGTCCGCACCAGTCCCTCGGCGGCGTCTCGAAACGCTTGTGTGAGCTGTGCCACCTGCAGCGCTTTGGCCGAGACCGAGAGATCGGAGACGGCGAGAAGGCGCCAGAGACGGTCGTTCCAATGCGTCGATGGCTCTGGCAGCGACGGGCGGGCGACTGGGACATAGTCTGCTTTCTTTGGCGCAACGACGGGACGGGGCGCGTCGAGCAGCGGCTCGGGCGCCGGTACGTCGATCGTCGTCGTCCAGTCGCCCGACGACGCTACCCAATCCAAAAAATCCACGAGAGCGATCTTGCCTAGTCCGATATGAGAGGTTTGGGTCCCGTTGGCACGGTGGTACCGGTGAGCCCGGGGTCGAGGCTTTGTTGGATCGTATTGTACGCGTCGATCGAGCCGTGCCAGTGAATGTACAGGGAGTCATGTAAGGTCACTAGAACTGTCTTATACAGGTATAATATACGTCGACAGAAGAAAGGATATCAAGTCGAGGAGCGCGCGCAGCTTGGCGCTTTCAATCTTGCCCATGCCTCGACCATCGAGCTATGCGCGCTACAGAAAGGACACAAGGCATCGACGTCGGGTACCTTGGCAAAGGCGGCGCGGGCGTCGGCGCAGCGCTGGTCAGTGTGCGTCGTTGGCGCTGTCGATGGCGGGTGCATGCTAGCCTTTAAGAGCGCTGTCAAAACGTTTCTCAAAAGTTTGCGTAGACGTACGTGGATGGCCGCGACCCATTCGACGAGGTCGCGCTCGGAAGCACAGCCAAACGTCCGCGTCTTCTCCTACGCACCAGCATCATCGACCGCGCAATGTAGCGTCAACCAAGTGCACCGTATGCTTGTCGACGAGCTGGAAGCAGTGCTTTCGCTGCAAGCGCTTCTGCCCTGACATATGAGAAGACGATGCACATGCGCGATAGCCGTGTACCTCGATGGGCGCCGAGACCGCGACGAGCGTATGCTCGTGGAGCAAGAGCACCTTCGTTGCCTTGCTGCTGCAGAGACCATGGAGTGAGAAGCCTCCGGCGTCGGCCACCTACGCGCATGGCCCGTCGACCTCGTCGGCGCGACGGCGCGTCGTACCATGGGGTACCAGCGCAGCGCATGGGCGTCGAGGTGGACCCATTTGTCGCTCCACTTGGTCCCGAGGACGTTGACCGAGTGCTATCTCCAACGTGGGCGCATGCTGCATGGTCGTCGGCCTACCTTGGAGAGCTTTCCCGACTTCATCGCGTCGTTTCGGAATGGACGATCTTCCAGCACCGGCACGGTTGTACCCGTCAAACCGGTTAATTTATCCGGTTAGCCACCACACAAGATTGCTTTGGTCGCTTTTGATTGGTCCGCGCCGCTTGGAAGGATATCGGAGGTCAGTCTCCGATGGGCGAAGCGCAGCCGCTGCTCGGGCCATCGCCGCTCAGTGATGGGCCGCCGGCGCCGAGAGGCTGCCTCTCGTCGATGCTCTTTACGTGGATGAACCCGCTCCTCGAGCTCGGCAACGAGCGCCCGCTCGAGATGGACGACCTCTACCAGCTGGCGCCATCGCTCCGCGCCGACGTAGCATCGGCGCGCTTCCAAGCTTGCTGGGACACCGAGCGGCAGCGACCGCATCCGAGCCTCGCCCGCGCGCTCGCCCGCGCATTTGGCCGGCGATTCGTTGCCGCGGGCGTTCTCCGGCTCCTCCGCGACGTCCTCCAGTTTGTCGGGCCGCTCGTGATCCACCGCGTGATCGCGTACCTCTGCGACCCGTTGGCGCCCGAGTCGGACGGTCTTCTCTGCGTCGCCGCGATCTTTATCGCGGGCAACCTCCAAGCGTTCTGCTTCCGCAACTACATGTACTACGTCTTCGAGACGGGTCTCCTCGTGCGTAGCGCGGTCGTCGCCGCCGTGTACCAGAAAGCGCTTCGCCTCTCGTCGTCGTCGTTGCGGTCGTCGGGCGAGATCACGAACCTCGTAGCTATCGATGCGACGCGGCTCCAGGACCTGCTCTCGGACCTGCACGCGATCTGGTATGGCCCGTGTCTCATCGCCGCGGCTTGCACGCTGCTCTACTACCAGGTCGGGCCCGCGTGTTTTGGCGCGCTCGGCGTGATAGTGCTTTCGATCCCGCTCTCGCTGCTCATCTCGCGGCGCATGCGACGCTTGCAAAAGGCGCTCATGGCCGTCAAGGACGACCGCATTAAAGTCTGCTACGAGGTGCTGACCGGCATCAAAGTCATCAAGCTCCAAACATGGGAGCACGAATTCGTCAAGCGCGTCCAGAGCTTCCGCGACGACGAGCTCCAGAAGCTCAAGGCGTACATTCTCACGCGCGCGTCGTCCAACTCGATCTTCAACGGCGTCCCGGCGCTCATCACCGTCGCGCTATTCGCTACGTACGTTCTTGGTTACCACGAAGTCCTCAACGTGCAGACGTCGATCACATGCCTCGCACTGCTGGCGATCATGCGGTACCCGCTCTTTGTGCTGCCGAGCGTCGTCAACGCAATCGTCGAGGCGTCCGTGAGCCTCACGCGCCTCGAAGCGTGTCTTCTCGACGCCGAGCGGATGCCCGTTGGCAGCGGCGACTTGACGCGTACTGGCATATCGCTTGTCGACGCGACGTTTGGGTGGACCGCGCCGGCGCTGGGACCGCTCACGCTCACGATGCACGACCGAGGGCTCGTGGCCGTGGTCGGGCCCGTCGGTAGTGGCAAGTCGACGCTCCTCTCAGGCTTGCTTGGCGACGCGGCGTGCCTCTCCGGCACTATCGCCGTGCGCGGCGGCATCGCGTACGTCGCCCAGCAGCCGTTCATCCAAAATGCCACGGTCCGCGACAACATCTGTTTCGGGCTACCGTACGAGTTTGGCCGGTACATGGCCGCGATCCGCGTCGCGTGCCTGGACGACGACCTCCGCGCGCTGCCGGGACACGACCTCACCGAGATTGGCGAGAAAGGCATCAACCTCAGCGGCGGTCAACGGACGCGGGTCGCCCTCGCGCGCGCCGTGTACCAAGACGCCGACGTCTACCTCCTCGACGACGTCCTCGCCGCCGTCGACGCCCACGTCGGGGCAACGATCTTTGAATCGTGCATCCGCGGCACGCTCAGCAACAAGCTCGTCGTGCTGGTGACCAACGCGCTCCAGTTTCTTCCGTCGTGCGACCGCATCGTGGTGCTAAATGCTGGTCAGGTGGCCCAAGTCGGTGCGTACGACGCGCTGCTCGCCGCACCAGAGAGCGCGCTCGAGGCGTTAGTGTCGAGTTATACTCCGCCGCCCGTGCAGGACGCATCGACGGACGATGTGATTTCGGACGACGAGTTTGGGACGACGCCGGGGCACCAGTTGCAGCGCGTGCCATCGAGCGACGTGGCGGAGAAGGCCCGGCACCTCATGGTCGACGAGGACCGGTCCACGGGCGACGTCGCCTGGCGCGTCTACTGTGTCTGGGTGCGCGCGTGCGGCGGCTTTTGCGTCCTTGGCAGCATCCTCTGCGTCTTCTTTCTTGCCCAAGGCACGAACGTGCTTGCGACGTTCTGGCTGCAAGCGTGGGCGGCCAACGACGCCGTATCGTCCGAGCCTGACCGCCGTGTGTACCTCTACGTCTTTGTGGGGCTCAACCTCGGCTACGTCGCATTCATCTTCCTCCGCGTACTGCTCTTGTACCTCGCGGGTCTCCGAGGCAGTAGCGCGCTCTTCGCCTCGATGCTCTATCAAGTGCTTCGCGCCCCGATGGCGTTCTTCGATACGACACCACTTGGTCTAGATCCATTTGAGAATTGTCTGGTACTTAGCATCTGTGCATGGAGTAGGACGCATTGTGAACCGGCTCTCAAAGGACGTGTATGCCGCCGACGAAGACATTCCGGCGACCGTCGGCAACGTTCTCATCACGCTCTGCAGCGTCGCTGCGACGCTGGCGACGATCGTGTACGTCACGCCGGCGTTCGCGCTTGGCCTGCTGCCCCTTGGCGTCGGCTATATTGCGTCCCAGCGCTACTTTATCAAGACGTCGCGGGAGCTGCAGCGCCTCGAGTCCATCTCACGCTCGCCGCTCTACGCGCTCATGGCCGAGACGCTCGACGGCCTCCCGACGATCCGAGCGTACGGTGTCCAGTCGACGTTCGTGCGGCGCATGGCGCATTTGCTGGACCGTAACCAGCGGGCGTACTACCTTAATTTTTCAGCCAACTGCTGGCTCGGGCTCCGGCTCGAGTTCGCTGGCTCGATGATCGCGTCGATCGCAACGCTCTGCGCTGTGGCCGCGCACTCGCCGACGTCCACCTCGTTTGCCGGGCCCGCCGGCGTTGCGCTCTCGTATGCCTTTAGCGTCACGCCGTCGCTCAACATGTCGGTGCGCTATTTGAGCCAGCTCCAGACGCAAATGGTGTCGATCGAGCGCCTGCATGCGTATGCGACGATGCCGACCGAGCCACCGCTACGTCTACCGTCGTCGTCGCCGACAACGTCGACACGTGGCGAGATTGTCTTTGAGAAAGTGGACCTGCGCTACCGGCCCGGCTTGCCCCGCGTGCTCCGCCAGCTCTCGGCGAGAATCCGTCCGAAAGAAAAGGTCGGTGTCGTCGGGCGCACGGGCGCCGGCAAGTCGAGTCTCGTCGTCGCCCTCATGCGGCTCGTCGACATCCAAGGCGGCGCCATCTACATCGACGGCGTCAACACTGCGAGTCTGGGTCTCCACGACCTGCGGTCGCAAATTTCCATCATTCCGCAAGACCCCGTGCTCTTCTCGGGCACGATTCGCTTCAACTTGGATCCATTTCAGCACCACGAGGATACCGCGGTGTGGGCAGCCATCAAGCGCGCCCAGCTGGCCAGCGTCACGTGCCTCGACGCCCGCGTGGACGAACGCGGGTGTAACTTTAGTGTGGGCGAGCGTCAACTGCTCTGCATTGCGCGGGCGCTCCTCAAGCAGTCGCGCATCATCTTGATGGACGAAGCGACTGCGTCGATCGATCCCAGCACGGACAGAAGCATCCAGTTTGCGATCCGCGACGTCTTTCTCGACTGCACGTGCCTTACGATCGCCCACCGGCTCAACACGATCATGGACGCAGATCGAATTTTGGTGCTGGACCGCGGCGCGGCCGTCGAGTTTGACACGCCGTCGTCACTGCTCAAGATCAAGCATGGCATCTTTGCCTCTCTCGTTGCGAAAGCATCGCGCTAGCTGCCTACGTACCTCAACAATACTATACACAGTTTATCCACTTTCACAGTTTTATGTGCATTTCACAAGGACCACTGAGACACGCGGCGGACCAACTGCGTTATCGTATGCCACAGGATATCGACGATGAAAGGTTATATGCGCTAAACCCACCATCGGTCCACACCCGAGTGCACCTACGACACGTCATCGGCAAGCTGTCATATTCAAACAGTTGCAGTGGCGACGACGAGAATATGGTACACGGTAGCTGCCCGGCCAGCATCGACGAGAGTCGCGTGGTTAGTCTCATTAAGGTAATACCTGAGGTAATACGAGCAGCTCGAATAACGTGGTGGAGGGACCAGCGTCCGTGCACCAAGATCCCGAGCGACGTTACGCCGGCGCCTTTCCCGACGGGTCCCATGTGCCGGGCAATGCTACACTGCCGGTGGGACCTGGAGGTATAAGCAGGGGGAAGCTGAGCGCGTGGCAGAAACGAGGCCAGTACTCGCAGCTGCCGACGCCGAGAACTTGGTCCATGAAGCAAGTCGAGGCGGCTGCGCGTGTCGCACGTCGCATTGCCTGTCCTCGTCGACGACTCGGACAATGTATGGCTCCGACGCGCCGCGCGATGCCAGCTGGCACCCTGATCGATCCAGTCACTTGGGCGTCCGTCCCCCCTCCCCCTCCCATGAATTTGCACCCATGCGGCCATCACGGCTTGCTTGCTCGTGCAAGCCTGACGCTCGCCACCATGCATCTCGCGGTTACGCACCGAGCGTCATCTCTTGTCCGCCGCCGCTCGAGGAGGTTTTAAACTCAATGGTGTTTTAAGTCCGTAGCGCGAATATACCCTTGGTCGCGCACTACAGTGCATCAACGGACGGCTGTCCACGTGGCGCGAGCGGCTCGACGCGCGGCTACGGTCAGCGGAAGCCATTACACCCGCGAAACGGTGCGTTGTGACAAAAAGGGGGGAAGGCCACCGCGCCATCCACTTCCAACTGTGTGGAGGCCAGCGCTCGACCCGGTCGACTTTAATTTTGTATAGTGGGGCGCCGCCTTGATGCTGATTGGCTGGTTTTTGGAAGCTGCTGGCTTTCTGCAGTAGGGGGCCCTACGAAAAATAAAGGGGCGACGGGCAGCTCGAAATTCACGGTTTTCCCTGCTTCTGGCCAGTGGTTGAGACCGAGATGGCGCCGCCCCCGTCCCCGCCGGTGCGACGCACGCGCGCCAAGTCCTCGTCCACGTCGTCGGACCTCATGGAAGACACCGCGCCGCCGGCCGCCGGGTACATCGCCCATGCGAGGGGCGCATGAGGATTCACGGACGTGGCCTGTAGCACGACGACCAAGAAGCGCAAGCTCACCGATGCGCCCAAGCGCCGTGGCCGCAAGGCCAAGGGCAAGCGCAAGCACTCGGACGAAGACGACGACGACGATGATGACGACGATGACGACGAGGTCGATGAGGCCGACCTCTGCGAGCTCTGCCGCGTCAATGAGAACGACGAGCTAAGCTTGATTTGCGACGCCTGCGAAAAAGGTTGGCCGATGTCGCCTCGCGTAGTATCGCTCTCACCATCGATTGTGCTGCGTAGTGTACCACACATACTGCCTCGTGCCACCGCTCAAGGCCATTCCGGCCGGCGACTGGGTATGTCCCAAGTGCGTCGCGGAGAAGGAGGCCGAGAAAGCACCGACCTCGGCGTCGCCTGCGCGGCAGACGCCGCCCCAACATATGCCGTCGTTCCAGCACCCGCGCACGAGCCTTCCGGTGCCGCCATCGTTTCACATGCAATCCTCGTATCACCAGCCGCATCGGATGACGCCTCCGCACATAGCGCCCAACCAACCTCCTCCAGGGTATCCCCACAGCTCGCCCGCGACAGGTCTGCATCACCCGTTGCGCCCGGCACCGCACCTTCGCCAGCTACCGATGCCATCGTACCACAACGTACCGCCGCCGATAGCGGTGCACCGCCCGCTGCCATCTCAGCAACACCAGCAACAACAACACCAGCAGCAGCAACAGCAACAGCAACAGCAGCAACAGCAACAGCAGCAGCAAAAGCACCTTGCGTACCCGCACCACCACCAAACGTACTCGTCGGACGTGTCGAGCGGACCGTTGCCCGTGGCGCCGTTTCCGAGCAAGGGCCGCGACGTGCAAGATTTCTCGGAGCAGAACGAGCTCTTGCGCCGCGAAAACCAGAAGCTCATCGAGTGGGTCGATCGCCTCACGCGCCGCGTCGACGAGCTCAGCGCGGTGGAAGAGACGCTGCGTGCGACCCAGTACAAGTACCGCAAGATGGAGTCGCAGCTGCTCGATTTGCAGGCGCAGCTGGCGATGGCACCGAACAATGTGCCGCCCAAGAGCGCTCCTGGCTACGCTCGCACGACCCTGCCGTACCACCACCCCGCGTGCCAGAGTACCGGTCCGACTTCAACCCGAACGCCCCTCGGTACGCGACGCCGCAAGAGCTCCCGCGGCCATCCTACGCGCCGCCGCCGCAAGCAGAAGAGCCGCCCGCGCCGCCTGCTCGGCCGGCCAAGACGTCGTCGGGGCGGTACTTTCCGAAGGGCTATGGACAGCCGTACGAGGCCCCGACGCCGGCAGCGCCCGCCACGTCGCACGCGTCGACGTATGCACAGCATGCGGCGTCGAATCGGCATTCGGGGCACCACGTGATGCCGCTGCCGCCGCCGCCGACGCGGGGCCCCAACCCAAATGCGAACTCGGCCACGAGTGCGCCGACTTCTGTCACCAACTACCGCGGCGGCGCGCCGTTCGAGTTTCCCAAGCCGAGCGCGATGGGCTTTGGGTCGCAGCGGTCGCCGGCGGGTCGAGCGACGGGGCCGTCGCCGCGCAACAATGCGACGCTCGCGCCATTGGGCAAGCGTCCGCTGCTGCTGCAAGAGAAGGGTAGCAACAGCAACACGCCGACGTCGAGCACGCTCAAGGGCCCGATGCCCATGGCGACGCCACCGCGGGTGTACCGCACCAACAAGGAGCGGAGTCTGTCGAACGAAGACGGCGACGACAATGCGACGCAGCGACCAGTTGCCATGGACAAGACGACGACCGCCAAAGGCCACGACGACGACGACGACGACGACGACGTGCCGACGCACAAGAAGCAAAAGCGGCTCTCGGCCGTGGGAGGAGGCGGCCGTGCACCAAGCGGCCAAGTACCGTCGCGCGCAAGAAGCCGAGACGGACGCGGCCGACGTGCTCAAGTCAATTCGCCAGTCGGACCGCCCGCGGTAGGTCTACCGCTGATATATATATGTCGTCGTAAGATCTGAGAATACACACTCTTGGCTTAGGTTGTCGCCGCATGCATCCAACAAGTCGTCGGATGGGACAGACAAGATTGGGGTTACACGCCGCGGAGCCGCCGCCTCCTCCTCGAGCGCTACCACCTCAAGCGCACGAAGCGGCTCACGCGCCACAAGTGGTTCAAGTACCCAGTGCGCAAGACGCTCGCGGATTCGCGGCCCCGGGTGAAGGGCCGCTTCGTCAAGAACGACGAGCACGACGGCAGTCCGTCGGCGCGCTTTGACGACGACAAGCCGCCGATCGCGGTGCCGACCGACTTTGACTACATCCAGGCGTTTGCAGCGTGTGTCAAGGACACGCAAACCTCGGTCGAAGACGTGGTCGCCGACATCGTCGCGGCCAAGCAGCTCATCTCGTGGGACACGTACGACTCCCATCTCTCTGCATCGCAAACCGTTGTTGGTCTGATCGAAATATCATGGTGTGTAGGTGGACGATGGAGCTCGAGCATGCGCTGATTGCGCTGCTCCCAAAGGATTATGCGAGCTCGCCGTTCCCCGCGATCTTTGCCGAGCTTGTCTATATCCTCGGCGACGCGGAAGAGGAGTGCAACCAGGCCAACTACTGCAAGGCGCTGCAGGCCGGCGCGATCTACGTGGCCATTTGCCTCTCGCTCTTTACGAGTTTGGACCCGCCGTCGTCGTACGCGCATGACGCCGACCTCTCGCCGATCGTGCGCTACTACCTCGCGTCGATCGAAGAGATGTACCGGACCGCGCCGCGTGTCGAGCGCCGACACACGTTTGCGCTCATGAAGGCGATCGTCGATGGCATCGCCGGCGTCATCTGCACGGGCTTTGAGACGGGGAAGCGGTATCTCCGCCCCGTCTCGATCCCCGCGATCCTCGCCGCCGCGCCGCCCAGTAGCAGTAGTAGAAGTCCCGACGACGACGAGTCGGCGTTGTAAAAGTACCCAGTCAATTTTTCAAAACGCATTGTGTCAGCAGCAAGAACGAGAGACTGCCACGTCATGAGATGGTGACGTCGGGGGGTCACTCGAGCCACGCTGGCTCGTCGCCGCATCCAGACGGCACGAGGTGAGTTGTCGTCGAAGTCATTGGAATTGATTTGACTTTCGGATCTTTTTCATATAATTTTTCAACCGTGAACCATCGACGACCATGCGCCAGGGGCTGTACGTCATCGGTGCGCTTCCGATGCACGGCGGGCTCTGGACGTCCGAGGAGGTCGACCTCGCCAAGTTCCTCATCGACGTCTTCCAGCGCGGCTTGCTTGAGAACGTGCCCGACGGCACAAAGCTCGGCGCGTGGCTTCCGGTCGTCATGAATTGCACCAAGCGCCGCCTCTTGCGCAAGGCGATCACCGACCGCCAGACGCTCAACAAGTTGTACGCCTTCAACGCCCGTGCGGACGTCAACTTTGCGGGCCTCACGTCGACGCTCGAGAAGCTCGTGGCTGCCTTTCTTGCGACGGCACCGATGCACCGCCAGCGCGGCGCCAAGAAAGTACGTCGGTGCGACCGCGGCGCCTATGCGGACGAGGCTCCACCGACGTCGTCGCCGTCCATGAAGCGAGTGGCAAGCTCCTCGCCGCCCGCGATGATGCAAGACGCTTCGTGCGCGTGGGTTGCAGTAGAGGGTGCCTCTTCATTGTACCACGCCGGCGCACCTCAGCATGCGATCGCCGACGATCAACAACCCATGGACAGCTTCCTGACGTGCTCCCAAGCTGGTGCAGCATCGATATGAGCCAGTTCGCGTCGCTGGACGACGACATTGCGGCCGAGAAGAGCCTCGTTCTCGAACTCGACGCATGGGCCGCCGAAGCCGTCCAGTGGATCGATGTCGATGCCAACACCCTCCTGCTCGACAGTATTGCCTCCATGTAGTCGTCGTCGTCGTTTTGCTCGTTTTGTATGTGCGTGCTAACATGGTGTGCCTGTCTTGCCCATCGACCATCCCGCTTGCCATCGACCTCGTCGTTATCAACCTTCGCGTCTTCTCGCACCCATGTTGCATCGCGTGCAGCGACTGTCGATGGGGCCTCGTCGCTCGCGTTGTCGTCGTTGGAAGCTCGTCGGGGCTCATCGGCGGCCGAGCCTCCTCGGCTTCTTCAAGGACGAGGGCTGGGGACCGGGCGCTTGGCCGCATTACGCAACGCCTTGAACCACCGCGGGCCAATCGGGAGCGCACAGTGGCATCTTGCGTACCTCGGCTTCCTTCAACTGCGTCAGCTGCGTTTCAATCATCTCACCTCGTTAGTTTCCCCACGTGGCACCTTCGCACCCAACGTGGTCGGGTCCTGCCTCCGCATTGGGCGACGACTAGAAGCTTTCGGACGCAGGTCTCGACGGCTACCTATACAAGAAACTCTGCGCCGTTGACCATGCATGGTTTGAGAGCAATGCACCGCGGCCAAGACCGGCATCCGACGTGCTTGGTTGCATGGGCACGCTACCGTCGTTCGTCTTGCGCACTTGATGCGGATGGAGAGCGTTAATAGCCCGATCAGCTTTCCACCTTTTTTTGCAAATGTTTTATTAGCAATACAATTATCAAGTGTAAAGTGACGCAACTGCAAAAAAAGGGATCGTGGGGCAGGTTGAAGTCGATCGATTTTATACGTTGGCCCCACTTCAAACAGAGTTGGACGATCGCCAGCTGGCTCCAAGCATTCCCCCACCGACGGCGACGACGACGATGGCCCCCAAGGCGAAGCAAGAGAAGAAGGCCGAGCCGACGCGGCGCATGGGCCCGTGGACGCCGGAGGAGGTCGCGTACACACACCGCCTCTCGCAGGACTTCCAGCTCGGGCTCCTCGAAGACGTGCGCCAGGGCATGTCGCTCCGGCAGTGGCTCAGCCACATCCTCAACTGCTCGCCAATGCGCATTAGCAAGAAGTTTGAGGTTGAGCCCTCCCTCCGCGCGCGCTGCAACTACGTCGTCAACTGGCAGCGCATCAAGAGCCTCACGCCCCACGAGGTCTACGTCCGTAAGAAGGAGCTCGAGACGCTCGAGCGCAACTTCAAGAAGAGCACCGAGAGCCAAGACTATGTGCGTCTCATGCAGTCCATGCGCAACTGCTACGACAAGTACCGCAAGGGCAAGACGAAAAGCCGCGGGGCCAAGCGCGGCAAGGGCAAGGAGCCGGTGGGCGCGCCACCTCGGAAGAAGAACCCCCGGCGCTGCACCACGACGCCGGCGTACGACGAAGCGACGTCGCCGTCGTCGGCCTCGTCACCCACAACGTCGTCGACGCTCTCGCCACCGTCCTTGCCGATGCTGCCGCCATTGACTGCGCCACCGCCGCGCCCGTCGTTTCTATCGAGCAAGCAACCGCTCCAAAACCTGCAACAGTGGTCGCTGCCGGCGCGCCGCGACATGGTCGACCGCCTCGAGATCCACGCTGTCTTTCATGAGTACCTCGTGCTCATGCAAGAGCTGCAGACGACGTCGGCAGACGTCCGCGAGCGCCTCTCGGCACTCCTCGCTCGCGTCGAGCGCATGAGTGTCGAGCAAGGCATGACGCCGCTCACGATCGGCGTCCTCAACTCAATCCGCGCCGGGCTCTGCATCGCCGAGGCGCTCACGCCGACGACGGAAGAGACCCTGAACGACTCGTCGGCGATCGAGACGCTGCTGCGGCTCTCGCGCGCGTAGTGTTGTGCCGTCGACTTCTCTCTATCTATCTATCGCTGTACATATCTATTACATGTGTGTGTGTGTCTCTTCTCCCTTGCCGTGCTAATACTGCGGGACGATGGGTTCTTGCAGACCAGAAAGCGCTGGCTGCGATCTTTGGCGCAGAAACATCTGGTGGCGTCTCGTGCTGCCACGTATGAATACTCGCATGCGTGTAATCGCATGCAGGGCGACCTCGCTCAGCGTCCATGGCGACTGCGAGAAGACGGTAGCCAGTCCTGTGACGACGCCACGCGTCGAACACGGCAAGCCCGTCGAGTCATCTCCGCAGCGCAGTTGGTCACGCTGGACGCACCACAGTCCTAGCGATTTATTCGTTGAAGTCGTCGGCGCGGCGCCACTCTGCATGAAACTGGATCCCACGGCGACTGCTGCTCCAAAGTATCTAACGAGATCGAACGAGGTCGATCGACAGCGATCACTTGCCAACCTTCCTTGCAACCACCACCCGCTTCTCTTCCTCCATCATGGCACGCACCAAGTCCAAGTCCAAGACCAAGACGGCGCCGACCGAGCGCGCGGGGCCCTTCACGCCGCAAGAGGTGCTCTACGTCGAGCAAGTGGCCGAAGATTTTCGACGTGGGCTCATCGACGACGTGCCCCATGGCACGCATCTGCGCCAGTACCTTAGCATGCTCTTGCGCTGCCAGCCCATGCGCCTCAGCAAGCGCTTCATCATGTCGTCCAACACGCTCGGTCTTTGCATCTACAACGACGCCTGGTACGACGGCACGACTGACAAGGCGGTCGCCGCCGCGCGCCGCGAGGCGCTGCGCATCGATTTCGAGCAGTCCGTGCTCGCCTCCGCGCCGTACGTACCCACCAAGAAGGCCAAGCCTTCCAAGGCGCCCGAGCGGACGCTGCCGGCGCGGCAGAAGAAGCGCAAGGCCATCGTCGTCTCGTACCCCGAGAACGAGTTCGACCTCGGCGACCACATTGGCCGCATGAGCATCCACCGGCTACTCGCGTCGACGACCAAGAAGAAGCGCCGCGTCTCGACTCAAGAAGCCATGCACCTGATGTCGTTCGCCCGCCGTCTGCGCGACAAGGTGGCGGCCGAGCCACCGGTCGTCGTCTTTGAGCCGCCAACGACACAGCGCCGCACGCGGTCGCGGGCAAAGGTCGAAGTGGAAAAGACCAAGCGCAAGCGATCGCACACCAAGCGCCGCACCTCGCGACCGTGGGACTCGTCGTCGGCGTCGTCGGCGGACGAGGCGGAGACAGCAGTCGCACGCCCGTGGGAAGCACCCTACCGGGACCTCAAGGCGCTCGAGTTCTCGTTTCGAAAGCGCACGCGCTCCGCCGTATCGTACAACGAGGCTGGCGACGATGACGACGACGGCGACGAGCCAGTTGCACCCCAGGCGCCAGCGATGCAAATGGCGGCGATCTATCGGCTGCACAAGGCACTGGCGCCAACGTGGTCGGTGTACACGACTGCGTCGCGGTGCTAGTCGAGAACGCGTCGCATACCGACGACGAGCTCATGGAAGACGGCGAGTCGCCTCTCGTCGCCGCCGCCGACGGTGTAATGGCGACACCGGTCGGCGCACCCACCACCATCACCAACGACGACGACGAGGTTGTGGCCAACACCGACGACGACGCCGTCGACGACGAGTCGCAAGAGGGGCTGACGGACGATGACGAGCCGGCGTTTGCGGCATTTGCACCAAGCGCATCGGATGCATACTTGGCACTCGAGACGGTCGACTTGGATTCGTTCGAAGCGATGGACTTTGAGCACAATTTGTTTGAAAAAGTCACCAAAATCGACGTCGACATCTCGACCACCATGGACGCGTTCGAGATGGACATCCTCACCGACTTGAGCTCCGACTTGGTCGAGCTCGAGGCGCCGAGCGTCGTCGCATGGACCCTATAGGACCCCATTCTACGTGTCTTTGTTGTGCGAATGCATTCTACTGCTACCTTTTTGTTCTATCGCAGTTGGTGGGCAGACTAGACTACCTACACTTGCCATCCCACCCTTTGGATGACCACATGGCCTCGTCATCGCACGATCCGCATGACGTGGAGCGACGCCGCCGCAATGCGGCCACGACCGATGGCGCACAAGTGACCAAGGCATCAACGACGGCCAGTATATGGTTATACCACGCACGTGCAGCAAGTGTACCAAGAGGCGCTGCGGCGGGACCAAGGCCTACCGATCCCTCTCCGCCTCGTCGATGGATGTAGACGTGCGCTGTGTCCTTCAACGTCCCTTCCTTCACGCGTACCCATGCAATGCTCAGGATCATGCTCGCATAAAGCCATGGCCCATGTCCCAGCGGCGCTGTCGCGTCGTGCGTCGGGGCATCACTCATCCCATGACAGATCGTGGTGTCTTCTCGCCTCGCTCTCCATGGCGCCTCTCTGCCAGGCGCTGCCGATACCATCTGCTTGTCCACGTCCATGCGCATCGGCCGTCAACGTACATATCGCCATGCGACGTCCTTCCAGCGCGCATGGCCCGTCGGCGGCGCTATGCCCCCAGAACCTGAATGGCCGTCTCGGAAATCATTTACCTCTCAAAGTTGATACCCCCTTGAAGTAGGGGTAGGTGCCGATGAGATTCCAAATCCAAATCCGATACAACCGCCCAGTCATTGGCCGCCTATCCGGATAGGTTATCCGGATCGTCCAAACTGCGGTTCACAGCGCTTGGCCACTCGAATCATTTCGCCATCACCCACGATGCTTCGCCAACCCAAGCACGCTGTCCGCGCCATGTCGGCGTCTGCCAAGGTGTGGATCAACAAGGACACCAAGGTCATCTGCCAGGGCTTCACCGGCAAGCAGGTACGGCGCCGCATGCGACGGCCATCGTAGGCTCATGGGCGTGGCGACATTAGGGCACGTTCCACTCGGAGCAGGCGATCGCGTATGGCACCAACATGGTGGGCGGCGTGACGCCCAAGAAGGGTGGCACCACCCACCTCGGCCTGCCCGTGTTCAACACGGTGGCTGAGGCCAAGAAGGAGACGCAGGCCGACGCCTCGGTCATCTACGTGCCGCCGCCGTTCTGCGCCGCCGCCATCATTGATGCGATTGAGGCCGAGATCCCGCTCATTGTCGCCATCACGGAAGGCATCCCGCAGCAGGACATGGTCAAGGTCAAGTGGGCCTTGGCGCAGCAGAACATCTCGCGCCTCATTGGCCCCAACTGCCCCGGTATCATCAAGCCCGGTGAGTGCAAGATGGGCATCATGCCCGGCTACATCCACACGCCCGGCAAGATTGGTATTGTGTCGCGCTCGGGCACCCTGACGTACGAGGCCGTCCACCAGACGACGTCGACCGGCCTTGGTCAGTCGACGGTCATTGGTATTGGCGGCGACCCGTTCAACGGCACGGACTTCATCGACTGCTTGGAGCGCTTCACGAACGACCCGGAGACCGAAGGTATCATCATGATTGGTGAGATCGGTGGTACGGCCGAGGAAGAGGCCGCCGAGTGGTTGAAGGAGTTCGGCAACCCCAACAAGCCCGTGGTCAGTTTCATTGCCGGTATCACGGCGCCTCCGGGTCGCCGCATGGGTCACGCCGGCGCGATTGTCTCCGGCGGCAAGGGTACGGCCGAGGGCAAGTTCGCCGCCTTGGAAGGCGCCGGTGTCACGGTCACGCGCTCGCCGTCGCGCCTCGGCACGACCATGCTCCAGCAGATGGCTCGCCGTGGCCTCAACTAAGTAGAATATAATTCCATGTATTCGAGCCTGCGTCATCCACCTCGACAACCTACGATCCTGCAACGCAGGAAGAGCTGGATAGGCCATCGTCCGCGTCGAGCTCACGTACATGGCGGGTCCCATGGATCTTTCCTCGTCGTATAAGGCTGCAGGATCGCCAGGACATCGCGATCCGCTCTACAATTTTCAAGACTAATAAAATACACGCTTTTTGACCAATCACAAGCAGTTGCGAGTCTGCCATGACAAAGCGCAAGCGCGAAGACCTCGAGGCGACGGCCGGCGATGGCCACGACGAGAAGCGGGTCTGCGAGGGCAGCGCCGACGACGCGAGCAGCCATGGCTACGCGGTCGGCGCCCGGGTCATGGTCTTCGGCAAGTACGCAGCGGTAGACCCCTTGTCGATGCGGTCGCGCCATCCTACCATGGCCTCCCGTCTAGAGCATTCGGTACCTCGCACCGACCGACGGTATCGCTGGCGTCGAGCTGGACCGCGCGGTCGGCAACTGTGACGGAACGTTCCAGTCGCAGCGACTCTTTTCGTGCAAGCCGCACCGTGGCATGGTCGTCCGCCTCGAGCAGCTACAGGTACCTCCTTCTGGACACTCCACGGTGTGTGCTAGCTCATGCGTCCACCATCGGTAGGTGTTTTCGCCACAAGAAGCAGCCGCGTGCACGATCCAGGCCGTTTGGCGTCGGCGTCGATGCCTCCGGGCGGTACGATCACCATGCGGGATCGGTATCTTAGCCTCTTGCTTAGTTTCAAACACTCGTGCTCACGTCGTCCTGGAACGTTCTCGACAACCACAACGAGCAGCTCAACCTCAAGCGCGCCGAGCTCACGAGAGGCGCGTCCGACACGCTTCTTGCCCTGGCACAGCAGCGGCGCGACGTACGCACCTGGCTTTTCTTCCCCACGGGATGCATGCATGTCTTGTCCTAGGCCCACCCGCCGCTCGCTCGGGCCGTCTCGAGCCTGCCCGCCAGCTACACTGGACCAACGGTACCCTTGCCGCTGACGCTCCCGTCAGTGCTATCACTGCTCGACGCCTTCAAGCGCAGCGAAACACTCCATGCCTCGTACGCCTCGCTCGCACCCTCGATCGTCGATGCACTCCTTCACTAGGTTTGTCTTGCCGATTCTGGACCGCGCGATCGCTCTCTTTGCGTCCGAGTCGACCGTCCAGCACATTCGACTGCCGTCGACCGAGCACAAGCTCACGATCGTGGGGGACCTCCACGGACAGCTCCAGGATCTCTTTTGCATCTTCCTTGCCAACGGATTGCCATCGCATGCCAACATGTACCTCTTCAACGGCGACTTTGTCGACCGGGGCGTGTACGGCGCCGAAGTCGTCTTGACGCTCCTGAGCTTCAAGCTCCTGTACCCAAACGCGGTGTTCCTCAACCGCGGCAACCACGAGAGTCGCAACCAGAACGGCTGGATGGGGTTTGAGGAAGAGATTTTGCTCAAGTACAAGTCGGACGACGTGAAAGCGCAGGCGACGACCATCCTCGAGCGCTTCCAGGTACCTTATCTCCCTCGATGTATCCATGAAAGAGAGACGCGTTGCTACTAGACGTGCTTTGATGCGCTTCCGCTCGCCGCCGTCGTGCTCGACAAGATCTTTGTGGTCCACGGCGGGCTCTTTGGCCAGCCGCGCGTGACGATCGCAGACCTCGACGCGATCCCGCGCCGGCGCGAGCCACCGCTGCACTCGCAGCACCCTCAAGACAAGCTCTTTGAAGAGCTCATGTGGAGCGACCCGCGCCAGATTCGAGTAGTTGACGATGCGAACGGTACCATCGTCACGTATCCTCGTCTGCGTAGGGCCGGCAGCCGTCGTTGCGCGGCGCGGGCGTCGAGTTTGGCGACGATGTCACGGTCGAATTTTGTGCAACCAACAAGGTGGCGCTGGTAGGGCCCACTCCACATACTGTGTTAAATGTGGTTTCTTGAAACTCTTTAGGTCATCCGGTCGCACGAGTGCGTCCCCGAAGGCTACGCAATCCAGCATGGCGGTCGTCTCATCACGCTCTTCTCGGCGTCGCGCTACTGCGGCACGCAGCTCAACCAAGGCGCGTACTTGACGCTCGGCGCCGATTGCAAGCCCGAGATCCAGCAGTTTATGGCGCCGGCACTCGAGCAGTACGCGAAAAAGGCCGTGCTCTTCGCCGTCGCGTCGTCGTCGTCGTCGCCCGAGCTGGACGACGAGGGAGCGTTGCAGATCGAGGCGAAGCAGGCGTCGCTTGAAGGCGACCTACTTCGCATGATTGCCGAGCGCATTTGTGACCACAAGGCCGAGCTCTTTTTGTATTGCACGCAGCACGAAGCTACGGATGCGCCGGGGCATGTGTCGCGGCTCGCGTGGGCCGATGCACTCAAGACCGTCCTGGGACTCGACGTGCCCTTTCTGCTCTACCAGCCCAAGCTCACCGAGACCGAAGTGGACGGACGCATCAACTACTCGAGGTACATTGAATGCATGTGCTCACGTGGATTCGACCATCGAAATAGGTTCTTGTCGCGCTATCGCATTGAGAATCCGGCGGTCGACGCATCAGGATGGCAAGAAAGTATCATCTCGACGATCTGCAAGAAGCTGTACCTCGCCATGGGCGCCGGCAGCATCGAACACGTACGCAAAGCGTCGATCGAATGGGTCTCTGACACCGACTAGGCGTTTCGCATCTTTGACGCCGACGCCAACGGCACCATCGAGTACGATGAGTTCATGGCGACGCTCAAGGGCATGGACACGGGCTTGTCCGAGCAGCAGGTGCGATCGCCAACTCGAAGCAAACATGATGATAACGATGATGAGGGTAGATGTTTGAGCTCATGCGCACGGCCGACACGAACGACGACGGCCGCTTGGACTTTAAGGAGTTTGTCCAGCGCTTCGAGGTCATCTTTACCGACGTTCGGTCTCGAAAAGATGACACGCCATCGTCGACGCCCGTCTCGGCCCGGCACGGCCAGCTCGTACGTCGATCGTCGTTCGAGACCGAGTCGGAGACGACTTTCGACGTGGACCCGGACACGATGGTGGCGCTCGTTCAAATCGGCAAAGCGTTCTTCCAGCTCGACGGCACGCTCCTCTCGAGCTTTGAGCGGTTCGACACCAACCACGACGGTGTCCTTCAAGCGCACGAGCTCCACCAAGCGCTGCAGCAGCTCGGCCTCGACTTTGCCGATGAGCTCTTTCACAAGGTGTGGCGCGCGATCGACACCGACGGCGGCAACACGGTCGACTACAAGGAGTTCCTGGCGGCGTTTCGCGTGCAGGACAACCGCCCGCCCGCGTCGGCGCTCACGTGGCAGCAGTCGATTCTCCAGCAAGTGTCGAACGTGCTGTACCAGCACCGTATCCATTTCCGGTCGGCGTTCCGGTTGTTTGACCAAGACAAGAGCGGGAGCATCTCGCGCGACGAGTTCCGCGCCGGCATTTCCACTTTCAATGCGATTTTGGACCGGCCGCTGAGCGACGACCAAGTCGACGCGCTCCTCGCGCACCTCGATGGCGACGGCGACGGCAACATTAGCTACAACGAGTTTCTCGAAGGCTTTCAAGTCGTAAGCATCGAATAGAGATATTGCGATCTACGTGTCGTTCCACTTGACGTCGTCGCACCGACTGCTTTTGGGCCGTCGTTGTCCTCCTCTTTGCTGTCCTCGTCATCATCCACGCCGTCATGACCATCCTTGTCGTCGTCGTCGTCGTCCTTGCATGGGTCGCCAATGTCTTCGTCGTCGTCGTCGTCGTCGCTACGGCCACCGGCGTCACTGTCATAACCGTCCGCCCCGTCGTCGTGGCGCGTCTCGGTCGTCTCCTCCTCCTCCTCCAATACCTTTTCTTCCGTGCTCGACGTCATATCGCTCGCTTTCGCTTCACTATCGTCCAGCGGCACATCGAGCGAGAGGCATCGGAGACCACTGACCGCCGCGTCATCGCCGTCCATGGTCTTGGTGGCTGCGATGCACTCGTCGGTCGCCTTGGCGTCGTTTCCTGGCTCATCTTGAAGTCCTTGGTTCAGCATGTCTTTCGGCCTCTCGACAATGTCCGGACTCGATGTGGCGGCCTCGCGTCGCGGTGTCAGCAGTGGCGTCAGGTCGCCACTCGGTGGCAGCGGCGCCTGCGCCACCGGCTCGGGCAGCACAAACTCGTCAGCGAGCGCGCGGGCGTCAAAACAGCGCAAATCGACACCCGAGCCTTTCGGTGCCAGGACGCTGGACGTGTCTCGTGGTGGCACGCCGTAGGCCGCCGACGTTTGTTGCGGCACCGTGCGGCGCGGGCGGCCCTTGGCCTCGGCGTGCTGGGTTGTAGCCGCCTTGGCGCGGGCGTCGCGGAAGACGGCGTGGGTCGTTTTGCGGGCGACGAGCGACTCGGCCGCGCGCTGCGCCTGCTCGAGCGCGCGCGTGAGCGGGTCGTCGGTCCCAAGCCGATCGCGCGCCGTCTGCACGGCCCGCTTGTACGACTGGAGCACCTGTACGTGTGGCTTGGCGAGGAATTCTTGCTCGACTGCCATGTTGTGGTAGGCGACCGCAACCGCGCTCCAGTGCCCGTGCTTGTCGTCGTAGTCCTGCGCCTCTTGGAGCAGGATGAGCGCACGCTGCGCGGCGAGGAGCGCTTTCTCGTGGCGGCCGAGCTGCGACAAGATCGCACACGCGTTGAGGCGCGTCTCGGCGGCCTGCCGACTCTACTTAAATAATTAGTGGCTCTTATCCACCGAGACGCAGGATGGCTACCGGTACCGACGACCCCTCGAGTGCCATCGCGCGCTCGAGATAGCTGTAGGCGACGCGCAGCTTGTGGACGCGGCGGTAGTAGGCGGCGAGCTGGTTGAAGACAGCAATGTACTCGTCGGTTGTCGTGGCTAATGCGTCAGCCTTGAGCAAGAACGACCGCGCGTCGTCGAGGCGGTCGGCGCAGAGGTGGCGGCGGCCGACGTCGGTGGCCACCGAGCACATGCGCTTCGCCAGCGCCCACACCTCGGGACTAGAGTTGTGGGTTCCAATATGGGCGTGGTGATGCATCCGTATTACCTCTCGTAGCCGAGATAGTGCTGGCGCAGGAAGAGCGACCGTTCCCAGCAGAGCATGGCCTGCGCCGGGTCGCCGGCGGCCAGACACTTGTCGGCCGTCGCGTCGAGCGCGCGCACGTCGGGCAGATCGCACTCGTCGGCGACCATTCAAGATCTCCAACTACTGGTTCGGCCCTCGAGCCTCGACCGTGAATGGCGCCAAGATATAGAAAAGAGATAAAAAGACTACACATGTATGAACTCTTTCCTAATTAGTGGGCGACGAGCAATCGTCTTATTCGTTCTCCGATCGGACGCGTTAATACTGATACTGGCCCGGCGCGCCGTACTGCTGCGGCGGCACCATGCCGCCATACTGCGGCTGTGGCATGCCGTAGGCCGGCTGTTGCATGCCGTAGCCGGGCTGCTGCATGCCATAGCCCGGCTGCTGCATGCCGTAGGCGCTCGGGTCGTTGTACGCCGCGTTGGCGAGCGCCATGACGGGCGCGCCCATGCCGCCCATCGCAAACTGCGGGTCGACGACGCCGGGCAGCGTCTCGGCGGGCATCGCGTCTTCCTTGGGCGCCGTGCGCTCGTCGAGCACCTTGATCTTCTCGTGGAGGTTCTTGACGTACTGGATCATGTACGGCATGACGAAGTCCACGTAGCCGTTGCGCCACGCGAGCTCCATGGCCACGTCGGGCTTGATGAGCTTGTAGCACGTAAAGAGCGCCGCGCAAAAGCATTCCTTGTCGTGCGCGTCGACAAAGAAGCGGAGGAGTTCCTCCGCGAGCTCCGCGTCGGCCGAGTCGTTGGCCGTATCGATCGCGTCCTTGTACATCTTGTCCGCCTTGGAGAGCTTGAGCGACTGCGCGTAGCGCTTGTTCTTCTTGTAGAGGTACGCAGCGATACGGCGAAACTCGAGGAGCTCGTGCTTCTCGACCTTTTGCGCGAGCGCAATCTGGTCGAAATTGTCGTACGAGTCGATCGAGTCGCGGAGGCCCTGGTAGTCTTCGTCGTCCGTGAGGATCTCGTTGAGCGCTTCGTTGACCGCCGACAGGTTTTCCTTCTGCACGTCCTTGAGGTACTCGATGACGAGCGGGAGGTTGTCCGACTTGCGCAGCTGGTGCACGACGCGCGCGTGGTCGAGGTTGGCGTCAGCACTTGGAGGAGGCGCGTGAGCTCGAGCGGGTGTTGCTCGAGGTAAAACTGGATCGCCTTGTAGTGGATCTCCTGGTTGCGCACCTTCTGGATGCAGTCGAGGAAGAGGTCGTGCGCAAACGCGACCGGGTGGTCGACCATCGTGCGCACCGCATTGTCAAACTGGCCATCTTCCTTGTAGAGGTACACGGCGTGGTCCCAATGCAAGCCCTTCTCGCACGCCCGCAGAATCTTTGACACGTTCATGCGGCTGTGGAAGATCTTGATGTGCTCCATGAGCTTGGCCGGGTTGTACTTGGAGTACAAAATCGCAAGCTCCGTAAAGATACCCGCGTGCGCGCCCTCGAGGCCAAGACCTTGCTCCATGAGCTTGAGGAGCTCGGCCCAGTGGCCGCGGCGCTCGTAGTTGAGGATGAGCTCCTCCAAGTGGTCCGGGTGCACGATAATGTGCAGACCGCAGAGGCCGGCGAGGCGGAACTCGTTCACGTCCACGCAAGCATAGTTGACTTCCTTCCACGTACCGACCGAGTTGGCCTTGGTCGCCGCGTCGACGGCTTCGCGGAACTTGCCAAGACGCACGTAGCAGATCGCGAGCTTGGCGTTGTTGTTGATGTTCTGGAAGAGGAGCTTCGCCGCGTTGAACATGCCCTCGGCAAAGAGGCGCTCGCCCGTGTTCTGGATCTGCGCCACGTTGGGCGCCGAGATAAACTCCTCGAGCTCCGCGTACTTTCCGTCTTGGCGAGCGCGTAGATGAGCGACGTATCGAGGTGCTGCTCCTTGACCGTCTTGCGGGCCATGCGAAGGTAGTCAATGAGGTCGGCCCAGTTGCCGTCGCGCTCGGCCGTCGCAATCACGTCGGCGTACGCCGACGGGTCACCAGCCTTGATGAACGACGCGAGCGCATCGTGCAAGTTGTTGTTGTCGAGCTGGGACTTGGCGAGCTTCGACCACACGTCGGGCTCGTTGCAGCGGTCGGCAAACTCGTACGCGCGCGTCATATCGCGAATGTAGTCGAGGAGCACGCCAATCGCTTCGCCGTTGAACTTGGTCTTCTTGTAGATGACAAACGCCTCTTCGTAGAGCTGGTACTGCTCGCCGACCGCAATGCGCGCAATCTCGGGCCCGTCAAAGTTGTCGAGGCGGTTGACGTAGTCCATGACCTTTTCCTTGCACGCCTTGATGGCTGTGAGGATGAGCAAGTTCTGGAGGTTCTTGTTGGTCGAAAAGTCCGTGCCCTGGAGCACGATGCGCTCGAGGAGCTCAATGAGCTCGTTCGGGAGCTCGGCGTTCATAAAGGCGCGGACGGTCGTCGACACCTCGTCCGGGTTGCGGGCCTCCGGAAGCGCTGTTTGCACGACTTGGTCAATGAGCGCGCGGCGGTTCGGCGCCTCGACTTCGCCCTCGACGGCCTTCACGAGCACCTTGCCCCAAAGATCGAGGTCCTGGCGGTGCACGAGGTAGCGCGCAAGGTCCTTGAAAAGCGAGTTCTCGGTCGTGACGCGGATGAGATCGTCGTCGCACGCGCCGCCAGCGCGCTGGTACGCCAAGAAGGCGAGCGCCGGGTCAAGCTTCTCGCAAAACTTACCGACGACCGCCGGCTCGTAGTACGGGTTGTTGACGAGGAACTGCTGCGGGTCGCGGTTGAGCGTCACGTAGATCTTGCCCATCGCGTTGTGCGTCGCGGGCTCCGTGTTGCCCTGCGTCACGCGCGCCTCGAGCCACGGCTGGAGGAGGCGAAGGCGGTTGCGCTTCTCGACCTCTTCGACAAGCTGGTCCACGGGCGTCTGCGGGATCTGGCTCAAAAGCGTCTTGATGTAGTCTTCGTTGCAGTCCAAGTCGAGAAGCTTGCCGACGACAAGCGGCGTCTTCTGCGGCGAGACCTTAGTCGCATACACCTCAATGTACTTGAGAAGGTTGTTCGAGTAGAGGTACTGCGTGAGCTCCTCGACAAAGTCATAGCGGTCGCACACGTGGATGAGCGGGCGCGGGTCCTGGAGCTTCGACTCCTTGAGAAAGTCCTTGACCTTGACGGGATCGTACACCGCCGAGTCGCGGCAGACGCGCTCGACCTCCTTGAACTGGCCCATCTTGGTCGCGGCCTCAATGTACTTGTAGTGCACTTCGGGCTCTTGCGAAAAGTTGACGACCGACCCGAGAAAGTAGTAGAGGCCGTCAAACGACTTGTACTTCTCAAACATCTCAATGATCTGCTTGGCGCCGAGCTGCTCCACATACTTGGTCGCGACCTGCACCACAATCTGGATGTTCTGGCGCAAGTTGTGGCCAAGGAGCGCGTTGATGAGCTCCATCGAGACCTCGGCGTTGACCGTGCCAAAGAACGTCACGATAAACTCGTGGTTGATCGCGTGCGTGTTGACAACGACGCGCTTGAGGTCCGCGAGCTCCGTGTAGTGCTCGAGCGCGCGCTGGAAGAGGCCGGCCTTCTCGCAGAGCTGCGCGACGCGCGGGCGGTCATAGTGCGAAAACATGTTGTTCGAGAGGATCGCGTCCGCGACCTGGGGCGACCCGCCGAGGAGGTTGATCTCGAGGAGTCGCGTCTGGAGCGGGCCTTCTTCCGGGCGGTTGTTCTTGAGCGCTTCGAGGAGGAACGCGGTCGTCTCCTGGACGCGGCTCACTTGCATGAAAATGTCCACGACCGACGCAATGTCGACAAGCGGGCCGTTCTCGGCCGTCGCGAGCTTCTGCGCAAAGTCCAGCGCGCCTTGCGGGTTCGCACGCACGAGGTTCTGGAGCATAAACGTGTAGTCGCAGCGGTAGTTGGTCTTGGACGCGTACGCGACGATCTTGTCAAACTCGCCGCGCTGGACAAAGCAGTTGATGACCTTCTCCGGCACGTTGGCACGCAGGTACACGGAGAGCGCCATCGTCGTGTCCGACTGCGCGCACATGTCACCAAGCTCTTCCGAGCACTCGAGCTTGTCCTCCGAGAGCCACTTTTGCAGCAGCTGGCCGCGGCCCTGCATGAGCACGGGGCGCGCAAGTTCGATCGACTCGTACTTGTTGAGCGTGCCCATCTCCAAGCAGACGCTGAAGAACTGGAGGAGCGGCAACGGCTGGCCGGGCTGCGCGGGCATCTGCTGGAAGCGCTGAATCACCTGCGGCGTGCGCAAGACACCCTGCGGCGACACGGCAGCCAGGCGCGCGGCACCCTGCACGTCGTTCATGCCCACGAGACGGTTGAACTCGGTAAAGTAGAGCTCCTCGGCGCCAGGAAGGTTGAGGCGCGTCGCGAGCTGGAGCGCAAGCTGCGAGTCGCGGAGCGTGCCCACAATGTACGGGACGAGCTTCTGCTGGTTGATCGAGAACTGGAGCAGCTGGCCGCGACGCGTGATACCGAGCATACCCTTGGACGCCGTATGCAGGGCCGTGACAAAGACCGTGTCCTGGGCGACGCGCGCGCGGTACACGGGCTTGCCAGTGTGAATGTCGAAGAGGAACAAGTAGCCCATCTTCGTGATCATGTAAATGATATCATCGCTGGGCGCCGCCTAAAACACATGAGATACATACACGTTATAACAAATACCAGACGGTACCATCATCGAGACGGGGAAATCGTTGACGGCGTCCGCAGCAAACGGGATCGGCTGGGGCGGCAGCCGGAACGTCTGGCCCGCAGCGTTTGTGCCGACTTCCATGATAAAGAGCTGCAACGGCGCGTCGCCCTTGGTACCGGCAAAGCACAGCACTTGGGCTTCGTCGGTGCGGCCCGGGGGCTTCATGTTGGTAAAGGTCCCGGCATGGCCCTGGAGCACCTGGCTGACCTTCTTGTCCTTCGAGTAGAGCTGCATGTTGCCTTCAATGCGGCCACCCTCGCCCGCCGAGATACCGACGAGCAAGAGCCACTGGTTGTCGGGCGACGTCTCGTAGCTAATGATCTGCGTGTTCGGGCCAAGGTTGGCGTGGCGGTCAAACTGCTTGGCAGGCGCCGAGTCGCCTTCGATGCTCCAGTGGTACACAGCCGTGGCCGTCACCATGCCAATCGTGTTGGGCGTGATCCACCGCCAAAACACAATCGGGTCCGTCATCTGATGCGACTTCATCTTGGCGCGGAGCTCCATGTTGAAAATCTGGAGCTGCGACCCGGCGCGGAGCGCAATGACCTTGGTCAACGGGTTCATGATCGCGGCCTCGGCCGCGATCGGGCGGCGCTGCACGTTGTTGCCCGCGGCCATGTCGACGATCACGACGTTCGCCTGGCCGTTCACGGTCTCGCAGACCGTGATGAACTTGTCGCTCTCCATTGCGCACGTCCCGAATTTGACATAGTCCAGGTTGACGCCGAGCGTCCCCAGCTACATATTGCACATAAGCCTCGTCGTCTTACCACGGCAGATGCATCTTCCTACATTGAGGACTTCGCCAAAGGTAATCGGCAAGTCGGCCATCCTGCGCTCTTCGTCCTTCGCACGTCGGTAGCCTTTTCGAAAATGACGTCGACTTGGAGATCTTCTTGGGGTCAAACATCTTGGAAATTGTATTGAAATCTTTTTGGCCGGGACCACCCCACACGTGGAGCGCGGTGACTTCCCTCTCACATTTGATATTCGGGGGCCTCCCACACTGCATATCTGGTCCCACTCTATGTCTCGAGATGTGCGTCAGCTCGCACCATACTGACTATAAACCTTCTTAAATTTATATTCTGTCGGAATGCATTTGCGCGCGACACGTGCGTTGCCATGCATTGTGAGAGGCAAGGCGCCGCGTATTTTATTCCATGCGATGCGCGGGAATGCTAATAGCAAGTGATTAAAAATGCAAAAATAAAATGCATCCCGCGCCGTGTGGCACACCTAGCGCACAGCGGTTACGAAACGCCAAGTGGCATTTTATTTGCATTGGTTTTCACGCGACTATTTTTAGAAATATGGAACCGATCAATTTATTTTCGCACGTGGCCCTCCGAGATCCATTGTCTTGTTCTTTGTATGCCAATGGCGCGCTTTTTGATGCCGGGGAATAAAAATGCACGCTGCCACGTCGGGTTCAACAACAACACACGACCGGTGTTTAACGCGTTTAAACAGTTGGAAAGGCTTGTGCAGTCGTGCTGTGGCCGCCATCGTTGATGGTCGCGTCGCAGCACGCCATCACACTCTGGTCGTTGCAGGCTTGGGCGGCCGCAAACGAGCTCGGAGACACCGTCTACGCTTGCGGTGCAACTGTGCGGGGGTATTACCTCGGCGGCAGAAACACGGAGCTCTCGGCTTCGAGAAAGGTCCCAAGCGTAGCCTGTATGATGTGCCCAGTGATATACGCGGCTCGCCTCTGTGCCCGCCTTTCCAACGTCGTCCAGCGCACCACGTTCTGGAGAAACCGGAAACGGGCTAACGTTTAACCGCATTGCATGTGCGTTAAAAGACGTTAATCTCAGCAATGTTGGTCTTTTTGAAACACCTCGTCGCTTCAACAAACTCCAATGGGTCCACGCCACGTCCACGCAGCTCCTACAACTCAACGACTGCATGTACTCTCTAAGCGAATGTCAGTGCTTTTACCCATGCTATTACCTGCTTGCCACCTTGCTCGAGCTCAAAGTTGCCGGTTCAATTCTGCAACTCGGAAGAATTGGCTCCCCACCCATGTGTCCTTCAGTGTTGCACAGCCACCGGGCCCCTCCATTTGGACCGACTTGTCCTGCGTTTTCTTAATATCTTAACGGTCTCCTCGCTCCATGCTAATTGCTCAAACCGTCGCGGAAGGAGTATACTGCAGAAACAACCTCAGGTGTCGGTGAACCAGAAGCAACGCAAAGCACTCCAATCCTTTGATGTGGACGTTATCATGCATCCCACAGAGACGAGAGACGTAGCCGCTCAGGCCACGGCGAGGTATCCTCGGCGGCGGCGCGAAGCAGCAAGCACATATGGCGCGACAATACCAATGGCGACGCCACACACTAGACTCAACGAGGCGACGCCGAGGCTCTCGCTGACGGTTGCTGCCAGTGCGGTCGTTGGTGACGGCAGCGGCGTCCACTGCACGTAGTTGGTCGAGTTGAGCCACCACGCCGGGTAGCCAGGCGACGCCATACCGCCAGGCTCCTCGCTGGTCGTGACGTAGCCATCGCTGTACTTGGCGACAAGGGCCCACGCAAGGCGCCAGCGCTCGTCGACGACCCGCTGTGCGAACCGGTTGTACGCCGTCTCGACAAAGACGCGTCGCGCCTCATCAGTCTCGAGGCTGGCGGCCTGTTGCAGTGCACGATCGTGCACCGTGAGCGCTTCGTCCTGGAACTTGGTGTTGAAGGCGCACACGTCGTCCGAGATGAGGTCGTAGCGCAGCGCGCGCCAGTTGTTGACAAAGTTAAAGGCCCACCACGCCGATTGGTGGTGGAACTCGCTCTGCTTGCCCGCGAGGTCGTGGTACGACGGGGGTAGCGCCGCTTGGGTGGATGCGAACGGCGTAAAGACGGTCCCATGCGGCGCACTCTGGCCGAACCAGAGCGTCCCGTCCGTTGCCGTGACGTGCACGGCGTAGCTGTACAGCGTACGGTGGACCGAGATCGGATTGACCCACCCACCGTGGACGCCGCGCGTGAACCCCGAGTAGCGCAGCGGCGACCCGAACGGCCCGGCGGCGACGCCTTTTGTCAAGTCGAACTCGGTGCCTTGGAACTGGTCCCGCAAGATGCGTGTCACGGCTTCCAGCGCAATGGGCGCGTCGACCGGCGCGGAGAAGGGGTAGTGGGGGTACTCCGCGACGAAGCCAAACGTCTTGGGCACGGCCACGGACGGCGCAAACGAGCTGTAGATGCGCCAGGACCGCCCGTCCGCGTAAAAGTGAGGCCCCGGGGGCGGGGCCGGGCCATACACCTTGGCGAAATCAAAGTCGTCCGTGCGGCCTGGCACCTAGAGAGCATATTTACATGACGACCGTGCGATGGTGGTGGTGATATTACCTGGGGGGTGTACCAGCCCGCCGCCTCGGCCGCCGAAAACACATTTTCGGACGCGAGAAACTCGTCCGGTTTGCTTAAGTCGATCGCGCCGATTGTAAACCGGTTGGCCAAGACGGCAATGTGCGCATCGGGCACGCGCTGCGCGGCCCACACCGCGCTGTTGTTGGCCGGCGACGCGAGAATGTGGAAGATCCACACTTCCCCGTACTTGTCCGTGATCCCCAGCGCCTCCGAGTCGTGCCCCGGGGCCTCGGGCGTGCCCCCGTACTCGCCATAAAAGCCATACTGCACCGCAAGGTCGCCCATGGTTTGAATCGCGCACCGCGCCGAGTCGCAGCGCTCCATCGCAATGTTGGTAAGCTCGCCAATGCCAAACATCGAGTGGCCGCCGGGGATGTTGAGCGGCCAGCCCGTGCTCTTGGCGCTGCACGTGCTTTCGCCGATCGCGAGCTGCACCTCATTGACGATGCCGTACTCTTGCTGGATGTAGCTGTACGTGTGCGCCACCTGCGGAATGAACCCGAGCGGCACCGAGACGTTTTGGCCGTCCACGGGCTCGTATTGCGGCCCGCGGTCGCGTGCTACCATGCGCGGGTAGCCGCCAAAGATCTTGTACACGGCGCGCATCGATCCTGGAGCGTGGTCGGCCGCGGCGATCGCGACGAGCCGCAAGTCGGCGGTGTCGCCGCCCGCGTCGTCGTTGTGCGTGACGATCGTCGAGCCGTCGATCGTCGCGTTCTTGCCGACCGCGATCATGGTGCAGGCGCGGGCGGCCGTTGCTAGCACGCCGAGCAGCGTGAAGAGGCGCATCGGAGCTTCAAGCCAAGAGGAAAAGTGATGTCGCTCGACGTCAAGCCAAGCCTCGGTTTCAGATAGGCTAAAACCACCCAACTTGAAACGGCGTCCGACTTGATGCAACGCCCGCTCCGTACGCTCTGTGGCACGACTCACGACTGGTTTGGCCGCGGCTACATGCTGAGCCGTCGTAAGCAGCACTAAACGCTACAAGAAATAAGATGCTAATAATGACGTTCGTTGATGGCCCGTGCATTTCCCTCCTACGCGCGGTCTCGAGGTAGTCGACGAAGGGGGGTACAGAAACGGCCATTCAACTTCAAGCGGTGCACGGTTGACTACGGAAGCCGGAGATCGACATCGGCAACGACGCGGTTCTGTTTTCCAGCCGAGAGAAAGCGAAGCCGCGCTCTTCGCGCCCAATTCGGACACGTGGCGCTGAGAGTTTTGTACATGATACACACACATATGTTCTAGATATTTAGTTCCGACCTGACACCAAGCAGTCCGGATCTCAGTCGTATTGGTTTCAATGCGATGCGAGGTCCCTGGCAGTGCGTTGGGCGCCTCGGACGGAGCCGTTGCGCGGCCAGAGGGTACCGAGAAAGGCTAGGGTGTCGCTACTGTTGCGTGAAAATAGACCTTACGGACGCGGCCCTGCGCACGCATGGTTTTTAACGCATTTGATTGGCTGAAACAGGTATCTTTTTGGCCAATCTGTTTTCCAGGCGCACGCCGTCCCACTGACTAACGAAAATACTAATCTTATGGTCAATTCAACATACAAATGCTAAATACAGAATGCGGCAATGGTTTAAAATTACGGAAGATTGCAAAATTAATTTCACGTCATTTCCAAGTTGGTATGTCGCTGGCTGGCGAAGCAGACATGGCAGCCGCGCTCGCCTTCGAGGCCGCGGTCGGGAAGCAAGTCCTCGTCTTCGGGAAGCATGCTGGGGTACGAGCATGCTACATGACATGCAAGGTTGATGCCGTGTATGTGCAGGTCATCCGATACGTCCCGGCGGCGCGCAGCGCCTTGATCGGCGTCGAGCTCCAGCGTCCCGTGGGCGACGGCGATGGCATTTGCCAGCAAGATGGCCAGCAGCACTTTGCCTGCAAGCCGCTCCATGGCATTTATGTCCGCGAAGAGAACCTCCATGTACATGCGCCTACATAATCCTTCGAAGCATCATCCTCGTCCGTGTAGGCGTACACCAAAGAGGACGCAGCGGCGTGCATCATCCAGTGCATGTGGAAGCGCCGTCGCGCGCTCAACGCGGTATGTCGCTTCCTGCGCTCATCTCCATGACGGATGATCATCGCATATGCATTAGTTTACGTCCGTCGTCCTCTCGTCGATGTGGAACATGCTCGACAACAACCAGGAGCAGCTCAACATGAAGCGTGCCGAGAAGATCAAGTCGGCGTCACAAGCACTCTCGATCCTGGCGCGGCAGACGGTATGCATCCTTTGCTGCGGAGGATGCAACATGCCATGCTCGTATCTAGTCCAAGGGGCCGCGCCTCTCGCACAGCGTGTCGTCGGTTGCGGAAGACTACCATGGTCCCCGCCTCCAATTCCCTCTGCGCTTGTCCAACGTCCTCGACATGCTCGAGCAGTTCAAGAAGGGCACGGTGCTCCACTCCAAGTAGGCGCCGAATGCATGCATGCGCTCATGAATGCGTAGGTACGTCATGGAAGTGCTCACGGAAGCCAAGCGCACGTTCGGCCAGCTCCCGACGCTGCAGGAGATCACGGTCAACGCCGGTGAGAAGCTCACGGTCGTCGGCGACTTGCACGGGCAGCTCAAGGTACACGCCACCCGCCTCTCCATCTCTCCATGGCCGAGGATAGGATCTCTTTACCATCTTTACGACGAACGGGCTACCCTCGAATAAGAACAAGTACTTGTTCAACGGCGACTTTGTCGATCGCGGTCTCTACGGCACGGAGGTACGGCCGACCTCCTTTTTGCGACACGATGCGAGATGGTGGCGTTGTAGGTGGTCATGACGCTGCTCTGCTTTCGGTCGCTGTACCCGGAAGGCGTCTTCCTCAACCGCGGCAACCACGAGTCGCGCAACCAAAACAGCTGGATGGGCTTTGAGGAAGAGATCTGGGAAAAGTACGACGGCACGAACGAAGGCGACCCGGCCCGCGCGAGCGTCGTCTATAACATGTTCCAGGTCCGCCGTCTCCAAGATGTAGGAATGCTGTACGAAGCTGGAAGCGGATAGGCGTTCTTTGATACGCTGCCGCTCTGCGCGCTTGTGCTCAAGAAGATTTTCGTCGTGCACGGCGGTCTTTTCTCCTGCGACAACGTGACGCTCGCGCACATCCGTGGCATTAGCCGGAAGCGCGAACCGCCGCTGCACCAGCAAGGCTTTGAAGACAAGATTTACGAAGACATGCTGTGGAGCGATCCGCGCGCGATTGCGGTGCTTGCAAGCGATGCTTGCTTTTTTTCTGAGGCTACTTGACGTAGAGCCGCCAGCCATCGGAGCGCGGCGCCGGCACCGAGTTTGGCCACGAAGTCACCAACAACTTTTGCGCCGTCAACCGTGTGGCCTTGGTATGCTTTGTATCAACTTGATACGATGGAAATGACAAGGAGCATTAGGTCATTCGGTCGCACGAGTGTGTGCCCGAAGGCTACGATGTGCTCCATGGCGGCCGTCTCATCACGCTCTTCTCGGCGTCGCGCTACTGCGGCACGCAGCTGAACAAGGGCGCGTTTTTGACGCTCGGCGCCGACCTCCAGCCCGAGATCCAGCAGTTTTACGGCAACCCGATGACCGAGGCCGAGTGGGAAAAGCCCGAGGAGGAGCAAGGCAAGCTCCAAGACAACCTCGAAGGCGACGCGCTGCGCATGATCGCCGAGCGCATCTGCGACCACAAGGCCGATCTCTTTTGGTACTTTACGCAGCACGACCAAGAGGCCAACGGCAAAGTGCCGCGCCTCGTGTGGGCAGAGGCACTCAAGAGCGTCCTCGGGCTCGACCTGCCGTTCTTGCTGTACCAAGCCAAGCTCGCCGACACGGACGCCGACAACCTCGTCAACTACTCCAAGTACACGTATCCTGTGCGTGCAATGACGACTCAAGCGGTCTCTAGGTTCTTGTCGCGCTATCGCATTGAGAATCCGGCGGTCGACGCATCAGGATGGCAAGAAAGTATCATCTCGACGATCTGCAAGAAGCTGTACCTCGCGATGGGCGCCGGCAGCATCGAACATGTACGCGATGTGTCGATGGAATGGGCCCTGATACCGACTAGGCGTTTCGCATCTTTGACGCTGATGCCAACGGCACCATCGAGTACGATGAGTTCATGGCGACGCTCAAGGGCATGGACACGGGCTTGTCCGAGCAGCAGGTGCGATCGCCAACTCGAAGCAAACATGATGATAACGATGATGATGGTAGATGTTTGAGCTCATGCGCACGGCCGACACGAACGACGACGGCCGCTTGGACTTTAAGGAGTTTGTCCAGCGCTTCGAGGTCATCTTTACCGACATTCGCAACCAGCCGTCCGAGAAAGGCAGCTTTGTGGCGTCGTCGGCGCCGCCTGCGCCGTTCAACGCGCCAAGCAAGCTCCAGCGCCGGACGTCGGAGCGCGACCAGCCGATCGGGCCCGTGCCCATGGAGAACCTCGACCCTGAGACGATGCGCGCGCTCTTGCAGATCGGCAAGGCGTTCTTCCAGCTCGACGGGTCGCTCTTGGAGAACTTTCACCGGTTCGATACCAACCGCGACGGCGTCCTCCAAACCGACGAGTTTTACGCAGCGCTGCAGCAGCTCGGGCTCAACTTTTCGGACGCGCTTTTGGCCAAGCTCATGGCTGCGATCGACCTCGACGGCGGCAACACGATCGACTACAAGGAGTTCCTGGCGGCGTTCAGCGTCAAGGACAACAGCGAAGTCGAGATGCTGGCCAAGGGCGAGCTCACGTGGCAGCAGACGATTTTGCAGCAAGTCTCGAACGTTTTTACCAGCACCGCATCCACATTCGGTCGGCGTTCCGGCTGTTTGACCAAGACAACAGCGGCAACATCTCGCGCGACGAGTTCCGCGCCGGCATCTCAACCTTTAATGCGATTCTAGAGATGCCGCTGAGCGAAGACCAGATCGAAGCGCTGCTCGTGCACCTCGACACGAACCGTGACGGCAACATTAGCTACAAGGAGTTCCTCGAAGGCTTCCAAGTCGTCGACGTCCGGCTGCAAGAAGAGTAATTGCCGACGACCCACGAGCCATTTCGTATCGAAGAAAACACGGTCGCTTTTTTGCTTGACGTATCTTGGTTCACAAAAGGGGATCGATGGCATGAGTATCAATGTATCAGCGGCGCATGATACGTGAAGGGTCGGGTAAATGCTGCGACGTTGCCTGGCGACTTGAGTCAAGACAATCGTCCGCAACGGCTCCTAACGCATCGACACACAGTCAAGACAATCGTCCGCAACGGCTCCTAACGCATCGACACACAGCCCGACCCGAGCCCGGCTTGAAGCCACCGCCAAGGCCTACGATTAGTTCCACGCCCAAGGCGTCGCTACATGTATGTAGCGAGTCCACCGCTTCGTCTGCATGCGACACGCTCGCGGCAAGCGTCGTGACGGCAGACGTCTTGGTTGCGACGCATCGCCAGTATTCTGGAAGCGCTCTCTCACTCGGCTGACGCAGTCGTCATTGCATTCAAGAACAGATCGCAAGGCCCGTGGTTCGACGTCTTCGCGATGGGCGACCAAGCCAAATGTCGGTTCATCGTCGTATGGGATGTCGGGAGTAGGGTTTCGAGTCGGATTGGAAATGCTAAAATGGAGCTAGAAACTGCAGTGCGTAAAATTAGGTTGGAAGCATGAGCTCGAATGGGTACGGCATCAGCGGGCACAAGAACGCGTTCTCGTCGACCGTCAAGGTTGGCAACTACGTCGAGGACCAGTTTGGCGCGCAGCTCGCGAAAGGCAGCGTCGAGTGGCCGCAGCTCGGGCGGTCCGAGGTCCAAGACCACTTCTCCGACCCGCGCCTGAAGCCGCCGCCCGAAGACAAGCGCGGAGTGCACCACGAGACCGAAGCATACGTGGCGCAGTCGGGGCTCTCATACAGCCTTCTCTTTCCCCACGGCCCGTCGGGCAAGGAAGGCGACAGCAAAGATTGGTGCACGACCAACCAGCTCCTCCACGGCTCGAACCGGATTCCAACCCGCAAGGTCTTTGAGAACGGGTCCGAGATTGGGCCCCACAGCATCGACACGCGCTCCAAGCACGAAAAGTCCATCGCGCTCCAGAAGAAGCTCGCGCGGGAGAAGCGCATGGAAACGGCGTACGTCTCGTCGGCCCACGCGAGCTCGGCCCTCGTTCGAAAGAAGTAGCAGATCTTCATTTACGGTATATATATCCAATTGGCTTGCATTCGTCAACGCGGGATGCCATGGACTGTCGAACATGCTGCCGACTCTGCAGATCACGAACGGCAAGGGCTTGTAAACACAGCTGCAGAAAATCACGAAACATCCAGGAACGAGCACGTAAACTTCAACTGCGACTGCAGCAAGGCCACGACATCATGCGGCACGGGACGCCAAAAGAGACAGAAGCTGCCATCAACGAACTGTCCTGATGTGCGGAATGCACCTCGACGCTAACTTCAAGGCACGAGCCAGCGTGTAGGGACGAGTTGGACCAGAATCCTTGAAGCTTCGCGTCTGCAACACCTCTTTCTTGAAAAGAAGTAGGCACGTGCTTGCTGTGCCGAGCTGCGTCAGCGCAACGCTGCCACGGTTGAAGTGGTCGCACTGGATTGTTAAAACGACCTTGTGATTGGCTGTTCTATTTTTACTTGATTGTGATTGGTGCATCGAAATAAATACTTGACGCCAGCGCTCACAGCCGTTTCCAGACCCGGGCTCCTTCTGAGGAAGCATCTCGCCACACTCTGCTCTCACCATCGACTACCTCGTTCTTGGTGACAAGGTATTAGCGAGAAGCTTGCTGAGATCCACGCTCGGGGCGCAGCCGCTCGTGTCCAGTCGCGCCATGAGTACCCGTACTTCATATTTCAAGTCGCTGCAAACTTCCATTGCGACAGGCCCGAGACAGTGCAAGGCAATCCGGTCGGCTGCGAAAAGGAAGGCAAGCGACTGCACGAGCGATGGGCTGCATCGATGGATGCTGCGCCTGGAACACGAACGATTCGCGTCGCATGCCATCCTCATCGGTCGTTGCGCACGAAGGTACCACCTACTCCCACTAGATTCGCTCGAGCTACTCAACGCAACTACAATGGACTATGCACAGACAAGAGACAGGAGCCAGATAGGATACGATTGCGCCAAGTCCATGGCTACGACGTCATACCGCATGCGCTCCACGCTGTTCGTACCACGGATTGCGCCGGTCGATTATGCCAGGACACGGATTATTATATATCGCTGCGAGGTGACAGCTTCTACCTTCTGCGATCGCAGCATCCCAATAGGATCTGACCGGTCATACCTTACCTTCTGCGATCGCAGCATCCCAATAGGATCTGACCGGTCATACCTTAATGATGACGATGCTGCAGCGGAGTAAAATCGATAGGCGTGTCTTTTGCGTGTTATTATCCAGGAGGAAAAAAGCGATTTGGACAAGTGCACAATCACCTCAAATAGGTTAATTGATTCAACTGGTCGTCTTTCGTACACTTCTGTCACAGAACACACAAAACAACGTCCGACAAATACGGTAATGTAATTACTTCAGCAGTTTCGGACGCTTCGCGGCGCGCATCGCCGCTTTTCGAGCCTCGGCTTCTTGGATAGCGACGTTGGCAATGAACTCCTTGAGGTCCGCATCCGCGTCCACGTTGGTCTTGATGGCCAACGCAGCCGTCTGACGCCGCTACGTAGTATTCGGGTGAGCGAAGACAACCCCATATCATGTGTCCTTTGTACGCGGTTGCTGGTCAGACAACGGGCGCCAAATTGCATCAAGTGCTGGGCGATCGTTCGCTTTGTGCAGTAGTGAAGCGGCGTGGACCCAAATCTATGCACGAGGTTGAGGCTGCACTCGCACTTGAGACCCACCGGTCCTTGGCTGTCGCATCGGCGCCGTAGCTGAGGAGCCAAAACACGAGGTTGCGGTGCGCTGCGTGGACAGCCAAGTGCAATGCCGTCGCGCGGCCCTACACGAAAAACGCGATCGCTCGAGCACAGATCCTCAAAGGCGTACGAGCATCGTGGTGCTATGAAGGTCGCACGGCGTGTGCTCGAGCAAGTACACCACTACGTGCTTTTGGCCGTGGACGCACGCTTCGTGGAGCAGCGATCGACCCGAGCTGCTATCCCGGCGGTTGACGACCGCGGCGTCGTCGGCGACGTAGGCCACGACACTGGCCAAGTCCCACGCGCCAGTGTCGTCGGTCGTGCTCTCAAACGAAACCATCGCTGCAACCGCCATCTCCCATGCCACGACGACTAGGTATCTAGTCCAACCATAATTGTCGGACTGAGGCGCAGAACTTTAGCTTGGTACTCGCATCGTCAGTGGTCTCTAGCAGACTCGACGGGACTGACGTGTCGCTTGGTTGTGGCCGTGATAGCGCTGTCGCGCCGACGTCGTTCGTGCTTGAAGATACTCGAATCCACGGTGGGATGCCACGCACGACAGCCAAGGAATATTTCGGCGCCTTTCTCTGTACGTCCATAGCTTTCTGCATTACCGACCGAGTGTGGAGATATTGTCATCGCATGGCTCTACGGTTGCATAAAAGGAGGCCATGCGCGACTTTGCCGCACTTGACGCTCGCGGCGGCGGTGTTGCGTGTGTACCGTGAGCAATAATGCAATGCATCTTGGCACGGTGAGTGCGACGGTGGCGGCGTGCGATTGGCACCCAGACAGATTCGATGTTGAGCAGTCACCTTGCACCTAGCTACGCAGGAGTACTACGTACATCTTTCAGCGAGGGACAACAAACGAGATCGTTTGGCGAAGTGTCGACCATTACAGACTGCGATTAGTCTACGAGCCGTCTTACCCACAAATTGAGCTGCAAATAGCAACGCGAAGGCACAGCTGCAAGGCAGTGCCATCGAGTTCCAACCCATGCACGGTGGGACAGGGGCGAGCGGCAATTTGCCCCGGTTTTATGCCGCGACAAGCGCGTCACCTCTGCATTACACCTCGCCCAAGCCCTGCGATGCACTCGATTGCACTCATACGAGCTACGAAATGGCGGTCCTCGGTAAACGCAAGTAAACTCCGCTGGGTCCATTCGTCTAGACGCGCGAAAGAAACTGCTATGTAAACGCACCAGCAAATGGACTATGACGTGAGTGCCTCGACCGCGTGGCAAGTACGGTGCACTGAAGGTCAACAAAACGCTTGTTTGACCCTTGTGCGCACCCAATCACACGGGCCATCGTGACACGGCGTGGCGCTGTGGCGTTTGGACCAGCGACGATGCCGGCGCCGTGCATTGATTCCAGGCACCGCCACGACAGCAGCGGAGTCAGAAAGAAGGGAAGAAGCCGCTCCGTCGATGGATGAGAGTGGGAGCTATCATCAACATCCTGGGATCGTGGTAACGAAACAAGCTGGCGAGAGTTTCAGCAGCGTCCGAGCGACCGTGGTCTACAGCGACGCATGTTTTTTGCAGCCGCCGCCAACAAGTTGGCACTCGATCGGCATGCCGCTGGCGCAGTCGGCGCCACCGTGCGGGCGGTTCCGAGCCCTTGGAGAGTGGCACCGGTGGCTAGACAGACGAGCCCTTTCTCAGGTGGCGACGACTGCATCGCACCCATTCATTATCCCACGCTGCAAGAGTAGTATAAATGGCGCCGTGTCAGACGGCACTTGTCAGTTGGCAACTTGCTTCATTGGACACAAGTCATGCCCCACCGACGCAAGGTCATTTGCTGCTTCAAGGACTGTGCGAACCCGGCCTTGGCGCGGTCCACGAAATGCCTCCTCCACCGGTACCGCGAGCGCTGCGAGGTCGAGGGCTGTCCCAACCAAGTGTACGCCCGCCAGCGCTGCGTGCGCCACGGTGGCAAGCGCCGCTGCCAACGCGCAGGCTGCTGCCGCAACGTCCGGACCGGCACCTTTTGCTCCAAGCACAACCCCGAGGTTGACAAGCAGTGCTCGGAGGAGGGCTGCACGCGCCAGGCCCACGCGCGCCAAAAATGCGTGCGCCACGGCGGCGGCCGGCTCTGCAGCGTCGCGACCTGCTCGGCGTATGCGCGGCGCGAGGGCATGTGCATTCGGCACCACCGCCTCGCGACGGCCGAGTCGTCGCTCGACGACTCCAACACCATGTCGGAAGAGGACTTTGCCGCGCTGCTCGAAATCTGCGAGCACGACGACGAGGTGGTTGCAGCGCCGGTCCCGCCCCACGAGGAGCTCGCGTTCATCGAGTCGCTCGTCAACAGCGCCGTGTTCGACCACGTCGTCGAGTACGCGGTCGGTCGGTCGGGTGTATGACCCCCGCAGCGTCTCTCCATCAAGACGCTCCCGGTCTCTACCAAAGGTCTATTTGCTCGAATCGAACCCACATATCTATGTTTCCCGCTCGTTTTGTCGCCGATGTGGATATGCCCCAACATCGTATTGCATTGGATGGACTACATGCACGTAACGTGCTCGGCGTGTCCGTCGACAAGGGTACATCGCCGCTGGATTAATTTTACCAACTACAAGAGTCTCAGGGCTTATATTAACCCTTGCGAGTCCCAAGAAGGCCTGCTAGCCAGTACTACGCACATGAGGAATTGGGTTGGCGCTCCTCCGAATGTGACTTTTCTTCACGAGGAGAAAGCGACTCGTTCGAGACGCCCTCGCCCGCACACTGGAGCGAACAGTCATGAAAAGAATGGGTACGAAGGGTATCGAAGTGCTGCCAAGGGTCTTCACGTCGCAAGTAAGATGCTGGATGACGACGACGGCGTATGTCGAGCGAGCTCGATTGGGCACTGCCACTAGATTACCATGGCGGTACATGTCGGCAATGGGAGCAGCCGTGCAAGAGTATGCAGCGTAGACAGGGATCTCAAATGAAGAAGACGAGGAGCGCGGCAAGGGACCTCCAAAGCGGGGACCATGGAGCCCAATTCAGTGGCTTTCAGCTAAATCTTCCTCGGTCGAGGTGAGAATGGCCACACCCGGGTGTACCAGTACATCATTGTACGCTGGCTGTGAACGCATTGGATGTGCAATCATGGTGGGGCACAACCTCCGCATGGTTGCGCCCTAGGTCCTTCTCGAGGGCAGGCGAAGACTTCAATGATACCTACTGTAGCGAAGCAGATGCGTGCACAGATTTATCACGTACCCTGATGTATTGTTGTACAGTACCAGACCGCAACTGCAACCGGTGGGATCGCCGACTCGACGACGTCCGAATCTTCGACTCTTCGTCGGCTTTTTAAACGATTTCCCGGCCCCCAAGAATAATAATATCACGACAAATACCCCGCGACTACAGAAGAGCAACGCCTGCGCAGCCACGGCCTGGCGAGTGAATGAAGAAGAAGGAAATTGCTAGTCTCTACGTATGCGAACTCTTTGTAACAACGAAGATAACGCAAAACACGTTCATATATATAACACCCCGTGGCTCGCGCCCACAGCAGCAATGGCAATAGCAATAGTAGAAATAGCACCTTGTTTCAGCGAGAAGGGCTCACTCTCTTTTGCGTCCGCTGCCGCGTTCTCGGACGCGTCGATGCACCAGGAATGGTTCTCGCGTCGCGTTTGGAGCACCAGAGAGGAGCTTTGTCAGCGCCGTGATAGCGCATGCTCTCATTGCGACAACAGAGTCGCAGCAACGGTGCCAGGACATTGCCCGACGACACTTGGTCGCGGCCCACTTGTTAGCGCCAGCTTGTGCTCTATCATCATCGTGGTGTAAACGCATCCTCGCATAAAACCTACTAGGGTACCTTCCATACCGCACAGGCTACCCATTAGCTCATGCTATATGCGTTGAAGACCGCCTGTCTAGCGAGCCAACAAATGCGTCTTTCTCAAAATCCCGCAATGTGCCAAATAGTGGCAAAACACCCGCACAGGACGAACGCGTGAATCGGATTGGCTATGAAGGATGGGAAACGGTGTTGTGATTGGCTGGTCTGTGAGATTGCGGGATATGTGCGGCAAATTGCCGTTTTTTAAGAAATGCTTTCACAAATGCGTGACACCGAGCAGGAACCCTTGCCCTAGAGCGACTGGAAACGTGGACGCGAGATGTGCCTACAAGTTAAAGTTGGAGTACAGAAGATACGCCATCATCCCTGCAACGATGCTCTGTTTACGTCCTATTTGAGAGGCTTCACTGGTAAGAGTTCGAGGGAATGTCGCGGCTGACATCAGCAGAATCGACCCACCCTGTCCGTGCCCATGGGTGGTCTATCGAGCCGGCGCCAGTGGCCGAGCCATTCGCACCGGACGCCGTCGCGGCGACCGCCAATGCGTGTCTCGACCATCGCCACAGGTCCACTAAATGTTCAGTCGAGGCGCGCCAGCGCCACAACGTGTTCACGCCACCAGGCGGCGGGACGTGATCATCTACCAACCGGTTGTGCGCCTCGACGTATGCCCCAAGTGCCAACATTGACGAGCTTTGTAAATAGTATTGCCAGTAGTAGCCGGTCGTCTGGACGTTTGAACGCCAAGAGCCTCTCGGCATTACGCGCATCGCAGCGCCAGATTTCTCCATGTGGCGGCGGCAATAACCTCACGCCACGTCCAATGCGGTTGAACAACCGTCCATAAATGGAAGGGGGTCCACCCAAGAGCGCGGTATTGGATGACTTTTCAATGGTTTACACAAGAGGACTCGGCTGCTGCGTGCGTGTAATCGACCTGCGCAGGTGCTGCCTCCATCGCCAACGGGAGGATCGCCACTGTACCTACTACTACCGGTGCGTCCGTCCCACGACATCAATGGACATGGCCACCCGACGCAGGCGCAAACCAACAAGATAATTCCCGGTGCTTACTCGCGCACCTGGGCTCGAGAATGCGAGTAGCGAGCATGCCACGATTGAGCGTACGTACGTAAGCGTAATAGTCGAAAGATTCAGCTGCCGACGACTTCCGTGTTCCCACTCTCCTCCTCGCCGCATGGGCGCACAGTTGGACATCAGCCGCGAAGTAGCATAAACAGCTCCTGACGCCATTCGCCCTTGCATCCAGACGACGTGCGTGCAAAGCAAAGCGTGCGATCAGTTTCCGCACTTTGAAATTATCTGCCATGCCGCACCGCCGCAAGCAGCGCTGCTGCTTCCACACGTGCTCCAACGTGCCCCAAGACGGGTCGGCCAAGTGCACGTTCCACCGGTACCGCGACCGCTGCCACGTCGAGAACTGCACCAACCAGGTGTACGCGCGCCAGCTCTGCGTGCGCCATGGCGGCAAGCGCCGCTGCCAGCACCCGGCCTGCTCGACCAACGTGCGCTCGGGTCGCTTCTGCTCCAAGCACAACCCGCACATTGACAAGCAGTGCACAGAGCCCGGCTGTACGCGCCAGGCCCACGCCCGCCAGCGCTGCATCCGACACGGCGGCGGCCGCCTCTGCGCCACGGCCCACTGCGACGCCTACGCGCGGCGCGAAGGCATGTGCATTCGGCACCACCGACTCGTCGCGGCCGCCTCGACGCCGATTGCTACGCCCGAGCCGCTCCTGGCGCCGCCGTCCGACGACCTCGACCTCATCGACGAACTCGTGAACAGCCCGATCTTTGACCACGTTGTTAAATACTCGATCGGGATGCTGCGAGCATGATAGAGGGCTGTGTCTCTGTAATCCACTAACCTTATTCTGTTGCGTTTTGAGTGTGCGCCTCGTGCAATTGAGGAGGTACCCGTAGGTAGACGGGCGTATGCCTCCTCGCCCCAAGTACTGTTGACGCAGCGGCCTGTCTCTGCGCACCTGCACGCGCTGCTATGCTGCGAATCTCTCGTCACCGCATCTTGATAGCTCATCTTGATGATGTCGGCATCCGTCACCTGTCGTGGTATCCGTGGTGGCGTCGACGGGATGAGCGGTCGGCCTGGACACGACTCTTGCGCGAGGAGCAGATGGACGGACACGCATCAGTCCGACCTTGTCGTCTGACTACTCCCAGGTAGCTCCCAGGTGCGGATGATGAATGGGACGAGAAGAAACCAGAAATCTTCTCACAAGCATGCCTGCGGCATAATACTATAGAACCTACTACAACGCGTACGTCTCTTCGATGTCAATGTACTTGGACTTGGGCGCGATCTTCTTGGCGAGGTACATCAAGCTCGTGACATTGAGCCCGCCGCTTTTGCCGGGCAGGCCGCGCCGCGAGCGTCGCTGCTCCTCGTCTGTCTCACTGAGCAATTGCATCAAGTCGACCTTGCGGCCTTCGGGGAGGCAGACGCCTGCATGCAGCGTTAATTGCAGGCTGCGTGAGACGGACGAGCGTACTCAAATGCGCTGGCGCCGGAAGCACGGTGGGCACACTCGTAGGTTCGTGGGGTTTCGACGACCGTCGCATCTGGCGCTCTTGCCGGCGCTGCGCCTTTCGCCGCTGAATGTCTTGAGCTTGGCGTGCTTGTTCCACTACGAATAACAATGCACACCGTAGAAACACGTGGTTGGTTGCAGGTCGACGCGTGCGGTACCTTGCAGCGTCAATTCGAGCTTTCGCGACTCGTCGGCGTGCTCTTGCAGCACGCGCTGCAGCGAGGCTTCCATGTCCAGCTACTCGAGGTACGCAAGCGCTACTTTACCCAGCGACGCTAACATGGATGTCATTACCAGCGCGACGTCGGACGGCAACGACGACGAGGCAAGACGGTCGTCGACAGCCTACAAAAGCTCCCGCTTTTATGCGCGACGACGCGAAAGAAACCGAACGTGGGTGCGATTCGCGTGGTCGGTGTCCGTTGACGCGAGTGCGACTAGAGCCGGCCTGTCGTTCGCACCCGGCCTGTCGACGTCGCCTGTCAAGGCGTCGCTACAGAGCGTCGTAGCGGCAGCGTCGTCGTCGTCGTCCTGGCGCATCAAAGCCTTGGCGTCGGGGGCCATCTCGCTCGGCGTCGCATGCACATTCGCAGAACCAAAGGCGTACGGCTGCCAATTGTTGGCCTCGTCGTAGAACCCCAGGATCGGGCTTCCGTCTTTGGCTTGCGGTGGCTCCCACTGCGACGTCCCAAGGACGCTGTTGACGTAGTAGTACGCCATATCGTGGTCGCTCCATGTCTGCACCCAGCGGTCGGCCGCGTCCTCATCCTTGGCGTCGGCGCGGGGACTGGCAAAGCTGAGCGCTTGAAGCTCCTTGCCCAACTCGATGGCTTCGGATTCAAGCAAGAGCCATTGCAAAATGTCTCGCACGATCGGCGCGTCCTAATACCCATGGTCCTTTAGAGCCGACTACTGGCGGCGTGAAAAGCACTACCGTCGGCGTCAAGCGCGCGAAGACGAACGACGCGATCTCGTCTTCGCACTGGGCCAAATCCTGCTTGTGGTGCACCTTGTCCTTTAAAAAGAGGTAGCTACAACAGACACTATTGGCACCAACATATCTAGAAGAGACGTGCGGTACAGCTCGTCCAAGTGCGCGGGGCGCACATTCGTCGCTGCAAAGCAGCGCTGCTTGATCTCTCGCAGCTCGATCGGAATCGCGTCGAGGCGGTCGCAGACGTCGCCGATGGTCGCCTCTTGCTGCGCATACGTACGCACATGTGCTCGAGCACTGTGAGGAAGGCGAGTACCTTGGCGTCGGCGTCCATGCTCGTTCCACACAGCTGCCGCATTCGGCAGCGCATCTGCGCGTTCTCGTCGGCCAAACGCTGGGCGACGATCAGGTCGACGCGAAGACGCTAGCAGCCACATGCTACCATCACAAGCTCGTTCGATGTGCACACCTCTTTTGTGAGCGTGGCTTGCAGCTCCGTGATGCGCGCGCGCAGCTCCTCGGCCTCTGCGCCAGCATCTATCCAAGGTGCCATTTCGTGCGTATGTATCTACCTGCGCCATCGATGGTGGCGGCCAAGCGTCGGTACGTCGCCGTCATTTCGAGTATGACGCGGGCCCACGGGACATAGGGCGCGTCTTCGGCAGGTAGCGAGTCGTCGTCCTACGCACGGATCTCGTTCATGTATGTATCATTTGTTTGGATTTTGGCATTTTGGGGCCATAAGAAAGCGTCTTATTGTCGTCCAGCATGGCACGTACCGAGGCTTCCAGCAGCGACCGAGCAAGCACATCTTGGAGAACCCACTCGGACGACGCCAGCTGTGCGATCGCGTGACGCGTCGCGGTCTCGGCCGAGGCTCGGACGTAAGCAAACATCCGATCGCAGAACGCGCCAAAGTCGTTGTACGACAAGAGCGTCTGCACGAGGACGCGCGTGCTCTGCGCGCGAACCCCTTTGCTCGCGTCTTCAAGCGCATCGAGGAGCGTCGACGGGTCGCAGCCGAGGTCCAGCACCATCGCCTCGAGAAGGCGCTCGGCCACCTCGGTAAACTCGGAAAACACCGCGTGCTGGCCCAATGTGTGCTCGTCGGCGCGCGCACGGCCGAGAAATGCCGCCTTGTGGGCCGCTAGGAAGCGCTCCAGCGGGAGACGCCACGCGTCGCCCTCGATGAACTGCGCGACTGCATCCACGACAAAGTCACTCATGGCGTCTGAATCCGTCGTTTCAGTTGCCGAGAAAGACTAGTTAGTCGATGCGATGTTAGTATATTAGTTCTTCTCGACGCATCCATTCCGGTGCGGGAACGACCGTGTCTTGCATGGAGCATCGGGCGGTGGCAAGGACGATGTGCATCGACAGGACGAGGTCTGCGTACGTGGACCTCTGGGTGGCGCCCAGCCGTATCAATGTGTCAAGTCATCACGCCCCTTCAAGATACAAGTCGTGGTATCCGGACGATGTTTTCCGGTCCCGTTGCTTCAGAGCGAGACCGATGGGGCCGAAGAAGGGGAAGAAGGGGAAGGAGAAGAAGGGGAAGAAGGCCAAGGAAGGCGAAGGCAAGGAGGCCGACGGGTCCAAGGAGAACGAGGCCGAGCGCCAAGCGCTCATCAAGGACGCCAAGCGGCTCGCGGAGAAGGCCAAGAAGGAGGAAGAGGCGTTCAACGAGTTCCAGCAGCAGCGCGAGAAGATCAACTACTTCTGGATCGTCGAGAAGAAGAACCTCGAGGACAAGAAGGCCGAGCTGCGCAACAAGGAGCGGGAGCGCCAGGACCTCGAAGAGAAGCATCAAGTCGAGATCAAGGTCGCGCCTCCATCATCTTGGCAGCAGCGTCCTCATCCTGGCGGTGTAGGTCTACAAGCAACGCGTCAAGCATCTCTTGTACGAGCACCAGAACGAGATCACGACGCTCAAGACAGGTACAGACATCGCGAGGATCCGATCTCTGCACGTATGACCATGTAGAGTCCGAGACGTCGCTCAAGCTCGGCCAAGACGACCATCGCACGACCGAGCGCGAGCTCAAGACCGACAAGCGGTCGCTCAAGCTCGACCTCAAGGAGATGGAATTGTCCCATGAAGACTACCTCAAGACGCTCAAGCAGGTAGCGTCGTAGCACATGTCTCTCTCTACCAGCATCGATATATGGGCGTCGTCCAGGAGCAAGACAAGCGCATCACGATCCTGCGGCAAGAGTTTGAGCGCCACGCCAAGGAGCTGCAGCAAAAGTTTGAGCGCAAGCGCAAGCTCTTCCGCGACGAGCTCGAGTCGACGCGACGGGTCGAGACGGGCGCATCGAGGAGCGCAAGAACAGCCATATTGCGCAGCTCATGACGTCGCACGAGAAGGCGTTTGGCGAGATCAAAACTACTACAACGACATTACGCACAACAACCTCGACTTGATCAAGTCGCTCAAGGAAGAGGTCGCCGAGATGAAGAAGAAGGAAGCGACGGACGAGAAGCTCATGTTTGAGATCTCCCAAGAGAACAAGCGCATGTCGGAGCCACTCAAGAAGGCGCTGCTGGTACAGCATATCGTTTCAAACCAGGACACTCCGCATCGCATGCTAGGACGTGGAGCGACTGCGGCAAAACATCAAGAGCTACGACAACGACAAGATTGCGCTCAAGCAAGCCAAGGCAGAGCTCCTCGTGCTCGAGGACGACCTCGCGACCATCTCGTGGGAGCACGAAGTCCTCACGCAGCGCTACGCCCAAGTCAAGAAGGAGTACGATGCGCTCCACGCGCAGTTTCAAGCGAGCATCTACGACGTGCAACAGAAGAACGGCCTCAAGAACCTTTTGCTCGAGAAGAAGCTCGAGTCCATGGGCGACGTCCTCGAGCAGAAGGACGCGCAGCTCAACGAAGTGCTCGCGCATGCGCAGCTTGACCCGAGCGTCGCCGGCCAAGTCAAGCGCCGGCTCGAAGACATCATGGAGGCCAAGAACCAAGAGGTGCGCGACCTCGAGAAGGAGCTCGGGATTGTCTTACGGCTCCTCCACGACTTTACGCAAGCCGCCCGCGCCAAGCTCGCCGAGTACGGCACGCCCCTCGACGAGCTTGGCTTCGACCCGAACGACCACGCACAGTTGGCCAAGGCGGCGACGACGACACATTTGCCGCCGATCAAGCGCGAGAAGCCGAGCAATGAGCGACCACGGATGCTGGCCCATGTCAACGTCGGAAAGTGAAGAGGAGGCAGTAGACCACGGACAAGAGTAGTTTAATGTATATATATGCGGTAGAAGACGGTTCTGACGCTACATCGAGTGACGCTTAGACGACCTTGTACGCGTTGCGGTTGGCATCCTTCCCGAGCTTCAGCTTGGGGTGGACGACCATGTAAATATCGTCGATGCGCGCGTCGAGCTGCGCAATGCGCTCGCGGGTCATCTGTTCGAGGGCGTCCATGCGTCCGTTGAGCATGTGGATCGTCTCGAGAAGCATGCTCGGGTGGATCGGCATCGAGAGCTTGGCAACGCCGTCCTTAGCGGCAGCAGCGGCAGCAGCCTGGTTGTACGCGGCCGTCAAGTTGTCCGTCTCCATCGAGATGCCCATCTCGCCGAGCGTATGCAGGTTCGCGTGCACGTTGTTCATAAGGTTGAGGTTGAGTTCTTCGTTCGACTCGAGGGGCATGCCCATGTTGATCGCCCCTTCCTCGACATCGTACGTGGGCATCGGCCCGCCAAGTTCCTTGATGCCATAGCGCTTCTTGAAGCTCTTCATCCATGCCGGCGAGACGCCGGGCCAGCCACCTTGGTCGTCCGTCTTCATGAGGTTACCCGTCACTTGCGCGAGGAGCTCGGCCGCCTTCTGGTGCAGCGCCTCGTGTGTCACAGGCTTGGCGTGGCACTTCTCCGTGATCATCCATCGGTACAGCTCGCGCTCGACAGCCGGGAAGGCTTCGTCGTCCGAGACCTTGAGCGTCTTTCGGCGCAGCGACGCGAGGTGCTTGGCATCGCCGCAGAAGCGCATGATGCGCTCCTTGTTCTTCTTGATGTCCGAGATCTGCTGCCGAGAGATGCCAAGCAGCGCGGCAATGTCGACGGGCTTCTCGCCATTCTCCAGGCGATGCAGCGCCTGCTGCTTCTGGTACAGCGACACGACGACGCGCTTGCGCTTCTGGGCCGGCGGAGGTGGCATGTTGGCGACCGCGGACCCGGCTGACATGGGCAGGCCCTTGCCCTTGGCCTGCTTGCCGCGGGCGGCCTTGAGGGACGCGTCGTGGGCGCTCTCATGGTGGTCGTCCTGGTCGTCCTCCTTGAAGCCGCCGTCGAGGCCGTTGAGCGTGTCCGGATAGCCCACATCATCATCCGGTGCCAGGCCGACAACCCCGTCGTTCAAGTCGTTCATCTGCCGCCGCCGCTTATTATCCGAAAATGAACTCTCCGGAAACCAGTCATTGGAAATTCGAAAAACGCTCCCCTTTGAATTCAGCCAATCCAAGACAAGAATGCACTGGATTGGCGGAATCAACCCCCAAAACAGGCTTTTTGACCAATCCACGCGCGAGAGAACACGCCACGCGCCTTGCGGCGAGAAAAGGTTCGCCGGGAAATAGTGTATGTCGAGCGCCGCGTCGGCACGACATGACACTATTGTACGCGTGTCGATGGTTCTGCGCCAGAGCATAAATTTAAAAGAGCGCTCTCTTGCGCTCCTGTGAAGAAGCACGAGCAAACGGTGCCAACTGCGTTGAAAGCGCCTCCGGAAGGCCCCGCCAGTCTATCCGGATATCGAAGTGCCACGCTTGGCATGACAAGGTGTACACACGATAGGACATGTACATAGTAGCAGACAATTTGACAATATTACACATGCGATAGTATTGCATGCGTTGTCGCTGCACTTCTACTCATTAGGATGTGGTACGTCCAGAGAGCCACACCCCCTTCATAGAGGAGAACCGTACCAAGGACATGTCCATGGCTGCAGGAACAACATCCAAGGCGGCAGGAACAACATCCAAGGCGGGCTGTACATGCCACGAAAACGATGGCTAGCCTGGGATTCGAACCGTTGGTCATGAACAGATCTTCCTGAGCAGACAGAAAATGATGATGCTGGGAGGTGTCGGATAGCGTTTTCAGCGGTGTGATTGCTGCCCGGCTCCTTCTTTACACTCTCCACGACACCGTGTACCTTGGTTATCGAATGGAGTACGCGGCGTGATCAGCAGCATGAGCGCGGTAGTATTATTTCTGTTGGCGTTCCAATCCAATCCAGTGTTTCCGAATCCAGTTTCAAATGGAAATGGCGCCTTTCTTAGTACTACCGTTGGATTGGTCGATATGATTTTGAATGCACCAATCATCGTAAGCAAAGTCACTGGACTTTTGGCCAATCTCGTGCGAGTTGCGCTGAACTTGGAATCGAACAGGCCGATGGACGTGGACCTGCGGCAGAAGTTTGAGTTTCTCTGCCAGATCAATGAGCTCGAGGCCGCGATGGGTACATGCGCCGCAGGTTGACGCTCTATATGCATGCTGTGACTAGCGCTCCTCCATACGCTCAATGCCATGGGCATCGAGCTCCAGCCCTCGGACCGCGAGCACCTTCGGTTCGTCTTTGCCGTGCTCCGCGACAGAGTCCGCAAGTTCTCAGACCGCATCGACGACCTGCAGAGCCAACTCAACGAGACGCTCAAGATGTATGATCGCGTGGTACGCCGGCCACGAGCGTCCGCCATGGCCTTACCTCGCGTCGCGCTAGATGGAGGACGTCACGCCGTTTGGCTCGCTCCAGCAAGAGCATCGCCTTCACATTGTGATCCAGGTGCGTAGCTGAGCACAGGTACTCTGACGTGACCCTTTGCCTAGTACATTGTAGCGCCCATGCACTGGCATGTCGCGGCCGAGTCGACGGCCCGTTTCGTCATGCCGCTCGACTACCGATCGCTCCTCTCGCCGTTCATGGAGCCCTCGGTGTACGTCCTGCTCATTCGTGATTCGACCGTGCGTCTTTGATGCGTGCTCACTGCGTAGGGCCGACGCTGTGCGCCAGCACGCCGTGTGCTTTCGCAAGGCTGTCGGACGCGTCCTCAAGGCGACGGGGCCAGCGCTTGTCGAGGTAAGTCTCTCTTCTCTGGAGTAGCAACTTTACAATTTCTTTACAGCTCAAGGATCTCTGCTTCAAGTACCCGATCCTATCGTTCCAGCGCAACACGATCCGGTTCTTAAACCGCGCCGAGGACCACTTGCTCGGCGGCGACGCGATCGACGACACGCTCAACGACACCAATGGCCGGTACGAGGACGCGTCCGAAGTGACTGAACGTTCACATCGCACGCTCTATTAGCACGTGCTTGGCACCGATCGAGCTCTATATGTCGCCCGGCACGCGCCAGTCCAACAACTGGATGGCGCTCGACGAAAGCATGGACAGCCTCCCTGGTGCACTGCTCTACGTAACCCCTGCGGCGGAGGCGCCGCCTGTCAAACCGGAGCCTCGGGAGATCTAACGCCCATGAACGCGAGGCATGCTTCTTGACTGCGCTATTTCGCATCGCATCGAACCGCTGCACGCTCATGGTATCCCTTATCCAGCCGGATGTACAGAGTGCCCAAGGTTGATTTCTTCCTGGAGCGTCGACCACCGTCGCAGCATGTTGCAGGCATTCCAGTTGGACCGTTCGGGCTTTCTTGCAGCATGCACCTTTGGGCATCGAGACGACGTCACGGAGCTCCCGACGACCGCCAAACCCACTCCAACAGTCGACACAGCCGCTGTGGAGTATGTCGTCTGGTTACTCTGGTAGGTATTAGTAGTTAGTCGAGTGGTTTGTGCAGCAACTTGACGTTAAACGAGGAACGCGCCCTTTGTTGGGTGCATTCGCTTGCGCGCGACAAAGACATTCATGGGGCGGCCGTGGTCCGTGTCGGGCACAACCGTGTCGACGAGGATCTCAAAGCAGTCTTCAAACCGTCTGCGAAGCTCGCCCAGCTTGAGAATGTCCGAGATCTGGCTCGGGTGCGCCCAGCGCCACGGACTTCCATCGGGCGGCGCGCAAAAATGCATCCAGCCGACGACACCGCCCACCGGTACTAAAGCGCGGATGACCGCAAAGAGTCGTCGGTTCAAGAAGCGGCAGCCATAAACACACTGGATCGGACCCCATGCGTGCTGTGAGAAAGGCCCGACTCTGTTGAGGTCCATCTTGATAAAGTCCACGACCTTGCCAACGCCACGACGGGATGCGAACGCGAGACCCTTCTTGCGACCGCTGCGGTTGTCGTTGACGCCAATGAACCGGTTACAGAGGTCCGGTTGGACCGCGAGGACTTCTTCAGCGAAATACACCATGTCGCGGCCCGACCCACACGCGAGGTCGATCACCGCGGCGGTCGGGCCGGCTTTGGAACCAACGACGGCCGGCACGAGCTCGAAGAGGAGCGCGTTGGGCGACCAGAGACGCGGTTGCGGGAAGAGCGGCGTCTGCGCACCGACGAGGCCCAGTGCGTTGGCTTCGGCTGCGGTGTCGTCCGAGTCGACGATGTAGAAAGCGAGGCAACGCCACGGCAACTGCTGCACTCGAATCGTCTCGGAGAGGAACCAGTCGACTTGGACCTGCGCCTTTGACCTGTCGCGCGGGCAGAGGAGGCCAAAGGCAGCTTGCCGCGCCGGGTACTCTACGGCAGTGACGGGATCGGATCCAACAAAAGCTGAAGAGCGCACGCACCGTGGCAGCGCGCTTTTTGAGCCGACCATGGAATCGGCACCTAATAAGTGCAATTTGAGTTGCAATTGAGAAAACTACCAAGAGCCTACCACGCGATCACAGGTAAGCACGTAGCACTGCTCGGCCTCTTCGCGCAGGTCCAGGAGGCAGAGCCCGGACGTCCGCCAGTACACGAGCGATGGGGCTTCGATGACCATCTCCGAAGTCACGTTTCGTTTTGGCGCGGGCGACCATCACACCATTTGAGCATTGTCCCGAAAATACGTGATATAGCGTTATTTAATGCGTGCATCGTGGTAGCGTTGTCGAATACGGAGCAAAGAATGTGCTTGTTGAGGGACTGCCTGTGTGTACCGCATCTCTATTGGCTATGTATGCATTGCGATAAGACCTCCTTGGCTCGGATGTCTTCGCAAGGCGGCGTCGAAATGTGCGTTCAATGAGAATAGTGTTATCACCTGCTATACAATAGTGTTGTTGAAAATAGTGTGTGTGCAACTGATCTGCGATCTCCGGATATTCAACACCAACAACCGGATGATCTTGCGCATTCGCAATCTTGCGCTCGTGTGTCACGATGGCCCGCTGCAAGGTACGCTCGCCGCCGACGTCGATGCGGGCATGGCAGCCGAATCGAGTAGACGCGTCCTGCATGCAAGAGCTTGGGCGAGCTCATGGAGCCGCTCCAACTCGCCCAATGCGCCAAGTGCCATCGCCCGATCCACGTACTACTACGTCCATCGTCGTCGTCGTCATCCATGCCCATGAGCCTGGCTGTAGAAGGCGCACATCGACCTGCACATGCAGCAATGCAACGTACGCCACCATGCGCCGCCACGCGCGAGTGACAGCCAAAGCGCTGCAACGCAGGTGTGCATGCCAGGCTCGAAACAGGCCGCCAACGACACCTTCTCGCTTGCGTCGCCGTACAAGCAAGATGCGAGCCCTTCGTTTGCGCCCAACAGCGGTATGTGGGCAACCCTTCGAGTTCGCCTCGTGCTTGCGTGTGTGCGTGCTCATATGGGTGCTAGGTGGAACCTTTCCAGCGCTCTTGCCCATGCACGAGCTAAAGACGCTGGCCTTTACACCGCCATCGCGGCCCAACCTCCAGACGACGCTGCAAGTCGAGGCGACGCGGCAGATCCTCTTTGGACAAACCACGGTCGCCAAGCGTAAGCTGCCAAAAGGCGTGACACCACCGACACCAAAGCGCCACCACGTGGCAGCGCTCGCTGCCAGCACGCCGGCCAAGCCCGCACTTCCGCGCGTCAAGCCTGTGACTCTGACCGCCAGGCCAGTGACTCTGACCGCCCAAGCCAAGAGTGGTGCTTTGTCTACCAAGCCAGCGACCAAGCCTGCTGCTAAACGTGGACAGAAGGCATCCCCCCGACCACAAAAGACATTGGCTACAATCGCACCGGGAAGCGCAAGACTGTCCAAGAAGGCATTGACAGTGTCGCCCAAGGTGGTGCGCGTACCACCGAGTGCACCACTCAAAGCGGTGCCGCCGTCCAAAGCCGCCATGCCGCGCTCGGTCGGGCGTGTGGTGCCCCCGCCGCTTCTGGCCTTCCCCAAGCACGTTGGTTTCCTGCCGCCAACGCCGGTGGGGATACTTCCCCGGATGCTATCGCCTACGATGCCTCTCACGCCCCACAAGAAGACACCACGCACGACATTTAGCCCTGAGCTCCACCGCGCGTACACGGCGCTTCCAACCCTTCTGTCGTGGAGCCAGGACGACCCCGACATGATTCCGATGCCCCCGTCGCTGGCCGCGTCGTCGCCACCCAATACGCCGTCGTCGCGGTCGTCGGACCTCCTTCTCCAAGCACTCTTGTTGCAAGATACGTAGTCGGTGTTTCAACTGCCTAAAGCTCTTCTTCGGTGATCTCGGACCGCGGCTTCTTCTTGAGCTTCTTCTTGAGCTTCTTGGGCTTTGGCGCGGGCTCGGGCGGCGACTCGATCGACTCGACGTACTTTTGGAATGTCTCAATGTCCTTGTCCTTGGGGTTGATCTCGATAAACTCCTTGCACATGCGAAGCGCCTCGTCTTGGATGTCCGAGAGGAGCCTAGTTGCATGATGTTGCCTTCCTGCAGCCCATGGACGGTATCGTACTGCTTGGAGATGGGCAGGTCACGGTCCGGCTGGCGGTCTGCGATCGCGAGCGCGCCATGGTACCGCATGTAGCTCAGCGCGAGGTTCTTGACAATGTCTTTTTTCGGGTACGAAATGCAGTAAATCTACAAATATGCTCAAAAATAAAAAATCCGGCGCTGGGAGGGATCGAAGTACCGGCATTGCGATGTGGTAGATGCCGTCGAGCGCATGGACAATGTCGCGCATGCCAAAGAGATAGTCGTCGATCTCGTCAAAGGTCGTGTCTTTCCCGAGCTTGGCGGACGTTTCGACCCAGTGCTGGAGGTGGTGGAGCGCACGCTGGTAGAGCCCGTCGTAGTAGATCTTGCGCGCGACAAACTCCCACGACCCGGACGGGTACTGCGCCGCGTTGGCCAAGGGAAACGTCGTATTGTACATCTTCCACACTTGCTTGACGTCCTTGTTCCATTTCGAGATCGAGGGCATCCTACGACCCCATGGTGTTCATGGCCGCGTAATAGTATCAAGATATCAACTTTTTCTGCTCGTGGATCTTCCACAGCATGCCGTGCGGCGTGACGTAAAATCCGTTGTAGTAGCCGTCTTTGCCGAGCGCCGATTCGTTCTATCATCATCTATAGATGTATCAACTTGATACAAGACAACACGTACCACTGCATGGAGGTCGAGGTACATGGAGGTTGGGAACGTGTACATGTTCTGCATCACAAAGCGGCGCATGAGCTGCTCAAAGCCCTTGCTGCCGCGCTCGGTGGACACGCCTTGCAGCAGCTGCGGGAACGTGACGCCGGGGTACAGCGCGTGCTACGTATCCTTGGTACATTGATACAAAGACACGATGTACCTGGCGCTGGAACCAATGGTACGGCATGAGCTGAAAGTTGAGGTGCATGACGTCCGGCCGCTTCTTCTCGCACTCCTACACGATCGGTCGTCTCCTCGCGCAATGCAGACGAGCGTACTTGAAGGTACCGGACGCTGTTCCAGTTGATGTCCGTGTACGAGAGCAGGATCGCGTTGGGTGGCAGCGTATCAAGGAGCGCGTGGCCGTATGCGGCAATGACATTTCCTTTCTACCACACACGACTGTGCCTCCCGCGAGCTGTTGCGATCGCACCTTGGCGTGGTTGGCCGTCGGGTACTGGGCGCTGAGCTGCATGTAGATCAGTCCGAGCGCCGAGACGACCGCGCCGGCCCTGGCGAGGACACGAAACACTTTGGCGTTGAGACTTGCGTGCATGCGAGCGAGCCCGAGCCCGAGGAAGATGGCGATCACCAGATTCGGTTGCATCCAAAACCGGCTGTGGATCGCGCGCGGTAGCGGCTACGATCGCCAATGCGCCTGCTGCATCCATCGAGGCGGTGGACGTACGAGGTACAGCGGCAGGTTCGAGAGCGCGTGGAAGCACACGACGTAGTGCAAGAGGCACAGCAAGAGCAAGTCGTCGAGCGCCTTTTGCTCTGGCGCGCTCCCGAGCGCAGCCTCGATCGGCGCAGCGTCAGTCTCGCGGCGTTCCATGTCGGCCGGGTCACTAGTACATGCCATGTCATTGTCAAGTGTTCGCACATTCGAGATGCGTACAAGCGCCAGAGGCCGTAGAGAGCGAGGATGAAGCCGATGCCAATAAACTGCTCGCGGGCGTCTTGGAGGTACACCAAGATGCGCTCGATCGGTGTCTAGAACGCATGTTTGAGCGCTCCTGCAATACAGACGGGGAGAGGACCTCGGTGATGTTGGTCGTGACGGGCGAGAGCTTGAACGTGCCGTACTCTTCACGCACGAGGTGGCGGAGGAGCCCCATCCACGACGACGCATTGCCCCAAGAGCCTTTGCGCGGCGTCGACGCCACCTCCATCATGTGCAAGTACGGCGTCAAGCCCGCGAGGAACCTACGCGACGGGTGGTTCCAGCCACATCACCGTCGGTGCAGAAGT